TTAAAAAAAAAAAAAAAACGGATCAAAGATGCTGATCAGTAAAATCCTGATTGAAGCATGTCTAAAAGTCACACTTTTTAACCAATCCAGTAAGCAGTTAAGAGCAAATCAAGCTACAGGAAGTACTTTATACCACATAAGATGAGAAGTTGCTGCAAATATCAAATATTTTTATGTATTTAATTGTTGAACATTAAAGCACAAAGCCCCCATCAATGCAGTCAAGTAGAGTGATTGTTAATGTATGTGTAGAAATGTTATGCAAGTGTTAACAACAAAACACGTTAGTTATATTGCGCTGAGGTTCCTCTTTTAGAGGCCATGTGTAAACATAATTTGTTATCCGTCCTTACTGGGAATGACCTCCTTTTGTCCTGTTTAACTTACACAAACTGCACACCGGCTTTAAATACTTTAAAGCAGTTGCCTTTGAAATGAGAAGACAACACACACACACACACACACACACACACACACACACACACACACACAGACACACACACACACATTCACTCTTCTCTTATAAAAGCATTTTGGATAGAGGTAGGGGATGATCATGAGAACAATGCGATGAGCTGAAACTCAGGCTATTGTTGTTCCTCGCCTCTTTTCTTTTTCTGTTCAGACTCTTATCAAGCTGCCTGACCTATTACTAGTTACTATTTATTGCAATTAGTTAGGCTATAAGTTACTCCAATTAGAAATAAGCTTTGCCTATGTTTCGTTTTTTTTCAAGTTGGCTTGCATTCGGTGTTGTCTCCCGGCCTATCTTTTTTTTTTTTATAGGCCGACAGCAGCACGCATGTGAAGTTGAGTCGCCGATCGCATCTGCAAAAAAAGATGGAGTCATGTAGGAAAATTAAACCAAAACGACACCTAACGCTGCGTCCAACTTCTGCGTCTTAAGAGCATCTAGAAGTTTTTGAGTTTGGAGGAATTAACCACAACACTCTTACTTTAAGCTCCTCAAACGGATTGTGGAGTCAGGGCGGGACAGGGCGCGAAAGGCTGAGAAGGAACAAAGAGGAAGAACAAACAGGAGAGACGAGTCGCAAAGGCGTTAAACAAGTGCAGCTTTGGTAATGAAATAAAGCGTCAAAACCCTCCCAGCCCCCACAGGTCTTAGTAAATGATAGCAAAACTGAAGCCAGCTGATCACGTGTCTCCGATGGTGACGAGCTGTACCATGTACTCGCTAACAAAGCTGCAAAGTTCCTCTCCAGCCCATCTCTCCTTACAACTGCTTGCCTTGTCCACATAATTGTCATTTTGTTCAAATGCTTCATCTTTGCAGCCCTAGCCAGCGATATTAAATCTCTGATTCCAGTCGTTCAGAGACAAATGAACAACTGTTTCATTAAAAAATAAAAAATAATTTAAAAAAAGACCTGACATGCATCTGTTGTCTAGAACCAACTTTGGGGCAAGTAAAATGATCGGTTGCCCGTCCCCTGCAGGGTACAGATCACAATTACTTGGTCAGAGCCCCACGGGGTGCAGCAACCCATCTGCTGTCTGCCTGGGGATGCAGACAGCTCTGTGAAGTGGTGAAACTCAAGATGTGCAACACAATGCGAACTAGTGCACGAAGCAGAGGGACGACGCCACTGTAAAACACAGGAGATAATGATTGTCCCTTTTTATTTACATTTGTTAAATTACCAAACAATGAGTAAAAAAAAAATTATTATAAAGCCTTGTAAGCTGTTTTCTATGCTTAAACCGTGTTGCTCATAAGAGTACAAAAAATAACCAATAACCCAAAGCTAGTTTAAAAAAAAAAATAAAAAAAATTATTATAAAGCCATGTTAGCTGTTTTCTATGCCTAAACTGTGTTGCTCATAAGAGAACCAAAAATAACCAATAACCCAAAGCTAGTTTAAAAAAAAAAAAAAGCTTCTCAAATTTCTTAGTTCTATAAATTTCCAGATTTGCCTGACTGTTTTAGAAAAGTAAATGTTGGACATGTAACATAGTTCCACAACACATTCCTGATATTTGATTTTGCTTGTGAAAAAGAAAAAAAAAAAAATAGGCAGGTAACGCTCCTTAAAATGATACAGTCAGTCTGGACTTTTGTCTCTGTCTGCTTCTAGCAAATAAAGTAGTGATTTCGACAAAAGCCTAGACTTAAATATGGCAAACTGAAATTAAAGTACACAATCTAACTAGAAAGAAAATAGAAGATATTCTGATCTGCAACCTTTAAACAATGGAAAAACGAATATTCTTTTTTCCTTATTTGTCAAGTCTGGGAAAATGATAATATCAAATGCCATATTTTTTCAAACGTCATGAAGTTAGTCAATGCAAAGTTGGCACTACTAATAAAAATATCATTTTAAAAAGCTCAAATGAATGTGTGTAGATATAAAATCTACAGTATAAAATCAAAACATTGAAACACTGCATTCAGAGTCTAATCTCTTGCATTAAGATTACAGATATGAGAATGCATTTCAGCAAATTATTAAGTCATTAAAAGGTTAAGCAATATAATTCTAAAAGTTTTATAGTTTTACTTACATCAGTTTCCCAAGTTTTCAGCCTCTCAAGAAATAAGAGTTTAGGACCAATGAATAAATATTACATAGCAATGCGACTGTCTGATGACTCCCCATTTATAAAGAAGACAGGCATTGACACCCTCTATAAGTATTGAAGAACAATAACGAGAAGCTTCGTGGAAGGAAAAAGTGTGTTAGAAAAAAGTTGCACAAGTCACATGGATAATCACAGCCTCGAAAAGAAAGTGAAGCAGAGAGAAGAAAAAGGACTGGACTGTAAGTATATCTATTCATACTCCACCTCAATCAACTGATTGAGGTGGAGTATGAATTTTCAGTCAAGCGATAATTTAGGGAGACATGTCATCTATTGATGTTGGTCTAATGTGTTTTATGAAGTACAAAGTTGGCAAAATGGCAAAATGTATGTTGGCACTAATGCGATGCCAACTTCATTTTCCAGCAGCACTTGCGACCTGTTTACAAAAAGTGTATCACATTTGATTAAATGACTGCTGTTCTCTGGCCTAACCTAAACACCATACAGATTCTACAGAATGTTGTCAACAGGAAGTTGCAAAACATACAATCCAACAATAAAGACCAGCTGAAGCTTAAACAACCTGAGCTTTCTTGACACTACAGCATCTGTGGAAATATTTCAGATTTAATGATCATGGATCCTCCTCATGAAATCTAAGGAAAACTAAATGTTGTTGTAACTTGTACTATCCAAGGCTCTTTAAAGAGTTATTGTAAATACTGATGGCTGTGGGCAGGAAGGATCTCCTGTAGCAGTCTGTATGACAGCAGTTCTGACAAAGCCTCTGAAGACTCTTTGTGAAGAGGATGCTCAGGGCTGTCTGTAATTCTCTTAATTTTAGACATAATCTTTCTTTGCACCATAATCTCCAGTGGTTCTTCATCAGGTTGTTCAGCCCTGCAAGTCCCTGGCTCTGATGCTGATGGCAGAAGAGATTACACTCTCCACAAACAGACCGATAGAAGATATGCAGCATCTCAGTGCAAACACTGTCGGACCTAAGCTTCCTCAAGATTACAGTCGGCTCTGACCCTTTTTATAGATGGCTTTACTGTTGCACATTTATATTCCTCAACCACTTCCGTTTCTTCTCCTGTGATGGAAATAGCAATTGTCTTCTGCAAATTTCTTTTCTACATTGAAATCTACAATTATCTCCTTTGTTTTGTTTACTCAGCTTCTCGTCCATCTATGGCACAACTGACGATTCCAGCTCATCTGAGTATCAGGAGTGTGATTTGTGCTTCAAGTACTGGACAAACTTTTCATTTGCTCAAAGTTTCTGTATTGCAAATCATTCAATATTTGTTTGATGTACTATTATTATTTTTAAAGAAACTTAATGTAGGGTTTTGATTTGATACAAACCATATCTATCACTCTTACTAGAAATAAATACTTGAAATATACTCTGCTTGTAGGGGGAAAAAATTACATTAGTTCCACCATTGTTATCACATTACTGAAATAAATAAGCGAATCTACTGATTTGCACCTGTTTCATCTTGCTACATGTTTATTTTTTTTTTTGTTTTTTTATATGATCAATCAAAACAATTAACTCGCCTATATAGTGCGCAATTTAAAACTACCCCAGCATGGGGTGTGGTACACCAAACTGTTTCCTTCTCTGCTTCTGCTCTGCAATAAGTGCCACATTATTAGACCGTCTGGGTGTTTTACTTTGAAAACGTCAGTGACCAAACAGTCTGGTCAACCTCGGCAATTAATTTAATCAAATATCATCACTTGTCACCAAATCTCAGTAATTTACTTCCCTTAAAACCTCCAGGTCCCTAGTCTCACGGATAAAGGAGGATTTACCAGAAAGAGAAAAGACAGTAAAGAGAAGTTACTCAGATTTTCTGGCTAACGTTAGCTGAGCTCTTTCCGAGGGGATGACGTTGGCTCGGAAGATGCCAGCAAAGCTCGCTCTATTCTCCCAACGTGAGAGTGAACTGTAAACATCTAGATGTATCGACAAAACATCACATCTCTAATAAACACCTTCGCAGCCTCACCTACCTATACACTGGCCCACAGGCGTGCTGTAAGGATTTCCAAGTAGAAACTCCATTTTGACAACAAACGATCCGCTTTGGAAATGACGGAGGCTGAGGCCCAGAGGTTGCTGCACGGGTAAGCCCCGCCCACTACTACAACTTATTGGATGAGCTGACATAAGCCCTGAATTTGATTGGCTGAAATTGTGTCAATTGTAAATATATGGTAAAATAAATAAATAAATAAATAAAATCTACGTAGTCCTGAATTTATCAAAAGTATCTAACGAATTAAACAATACGCAAAGTAAGCTTCAGCATAAGAGATATGTAATAGTTTTCCTTCAATTTTAAAAAATTAAATAAAATAAGCTTGCGTTTTAACGGCTCGTGAATGCACTTGAACGCATCTTGAAACTCAACCTGTTGATTGAGGAAAAACCGTTACAAGCCAACCTTTTTTTTTTAGAGATTTGACGTGAAGGTGAAGTTTCACAGTCAACTTTACTGTTCAGATTTATTTTTGCTTTTCTCAGTTATTTAACAACGTTAAAATAATTATTTGTTTGATTAATTTACTCGTGGCGTTAAACTGTTGCTAAGTAACAGTGTAAACAAAGGAAACAACGGGACACAAACGTTTTGGCTGTTTAGACTGTACATTGATACAAAGAGTTAATTCGTTGTTTTTTTTCTATTTATCGGTAAGTAAAAACATTACACATTCGGGTAGTTACAATGAGGGCTGTAGTAAACTTGGGACTTTTCAGCTGGTTCAAAGTTTTACTTTAGAATAATCTCTGACTCACCTGGTTGCCTTCAACAGAGTGAAAACGGCTAAAAACATGGACACTGAATCAAGCTCGTCGGACGATGAGTACACCTTGCAGGAGATGTTACTCGAGCAACACACCTCAAAAGAAAAGTACGCTCTGCACAATTACAACCTTGGGAATCTGGATCACAGAGAGCACATCAGTTTACAGCTGGAATTCAAAAGTATAAGGGATAAAACAAACAAAAAAATACAATCTTTTCAAAAGTTTTGGGTCTAATTTTATGCACTGATTCAGATTGTTGTTGTTTCCAGACTTGATTAAGATGGATTTCCTACATGATTTTACATCGCTGATAAGGTTGGATCTCAATAACAATATCATACAGAAGATATGGGGCCTGGAACGTCTGACTAATCTGACTTGGCTTAGTAAGAGACAATTTCATTTATCTTTAGTCTGTTACTATAGTGTGTTGGACAAACAGCAACAAAAAATAGAAAACATTTTTTCAAGCCTTTTAAAAGTATTCATACCTGTTAAAACGTTTTGGGTTTTTTTTATTTACAATTGGTCATGTTACATTCGTACACATGACTGTATTTTATGAGTGTTTTATATAGCAGATCAACACAAAGCGGTGCATAATTATGAAACATGCTAACAATGTGAAGCATACAAAGTTATCTATTTTGTTCCCCAAATAAAAATCAAAATTTATGTTATGTCCTTTAAGCCAGTACTTTATAGTACATTATTTTGCTCAGTACAGCTGCTAGTGTTTGGGGTACTTCTTTAACAGTTTCACATAACGAGAAATGTAATTTATTCTTTAACTATGGACCTTTCTAACACGTGGGTCATTCCTTTTTAACTTTGTATGTTTAGTGATGCTGTTCTGCAGCTGGATAGCTTTATAGTTCTTTACCAAGTCTTTTATATATTGCCTATAGTTTTTCTCCAGGATTTTGCAGTTATATGCCTGACCTCTCTGGTGTGTTTCTTGGTCTCCATGTTGCTATTTAGTCATTAATCTTTATGAACAAACATCTGAGAACTTCACTGATCAGGTCCTCGGCTATTGAAATTGATTTACACCTTGGTCAACTCTGTCTACTGCGTTTACTTATATGTTCCTTTTCTTTTAAATTCACAACCATGCACTGCTTTGTGTTAGACTATCATTAGCAGTAAAAAAGAAAAACCCAAATAAAATATTTTCAAAGTTGCGAGTTTAACTTATCGAGGGATATGACGGCTTTCACAAGGCTCTGTACTTTCACACGTTATTGATGTTTCTTTCAAATGTGTTTGCAGATCTGTCATTTAACAAGATCGAGGACATTGAGGGTTTGGACTCCCTGCGGAAGCTTGAATTGCTGAATTTGGCCTACAACAAAATCTCTGTCATCAAGAACATGGATACACTTGAGAACCTTACTCACTTCTTCATTTCAAAAAACCAAATCACACACAAGGAATGTGTAAGATAATTTTCTTTATCCAAATGACTGCAATGCCATGTTATGGAACGTTTGCACTGCACGACTTTGTGTCCGTCTTGTTTATTCATCTTCATTTTTTTAAATTAAAGGTGCACTACCTCATGAGATTTAAAAAGTTGTTCAAACTCTCCATCGGTGGGAATCCTTTCACTGAGAAGGACGATCACGCGCTTTATGTTGCTGCCTTTATTCCAAATGTGACCCTCTTAGACAACATTTTAATTCGCCCAAAGATGGTAAGTCTATACTCATGCACATCTTTCGGGATTTTTCTATTTTCCACATCAGTTTTGCATTTTGTTTCTATTTAAAGCATCAGTCTATCCACGTATGTGGTCCCATATTGATGCGTCACACTGTAAATGAGACATTTCTGTCTTGTGCAATTACAGCGAGAGGAGGCTGCCATCAAGTACAAATTTGAGCTTAAGAAGTTCCTTGAGTCACAGACCGTTCAGGAAAAAACAGAAGAAGTATGATGATGATCATATTTTTAAAGCCAGTTTTTGCAAATGTGCACATTTTATTTCTTGTATTATGTTGTCTGATTTAAGCTCTTTCCTAAAACAGGATGCAGGCGTGGACAGTGCTGCGCCAGTTACGTCAGCAGACGAAGCAGAGGCAACGAGGCGAGACAGCCTTCCAGAAACTCCTCCCACACAGACATATCCTCTGCTTTCTTTGCTGATGTGTTATTATTGCATCGAGTTGCGCAAACTGACAAAATGCCTCAGATTTCTTAACTTTGCATTTACATCTCAGAGCAAAATTGCGGAGCTGTGCTCACAAATATTTGCTATAGACTCAGATGAGTACAAACAACTGGAGACAGAGTTGAACTCTTTCTTCACTGGCCAGACTGAAACTGAAGCTCACTATCAGCAGAGGGCGTCACAGATGCTTGCAGTCTTCGATGAGCAGCACACAATGGCAAGTAGAGCAGATATCTCTAACTTAATAAAGTTAGAGTTATCTAACTTTATTAGAACAAATTTACAGCACATCTTTGTACTTATTCACTGCTGTCTTGTTCTTTTTTATTGTCATCTAACAAGTTTCAAATGTTCTAGAGGATAAAAGATATAAAGAAAATACAAGACCCCGATCTGCACCGTATCAAAATCATCGACTTAAGAAATTTAACTTCCCAGCTGTTTAAAGATCTCATGGCTCTGGAGTTTGAGTTTGTCAAAAATATGGATGTGAGTCTTCATGAGATTGTGTTTGAATTTTTTTTTCTATCACCTGGTAATCTAATACGTGTTTTTTTTTGTTGTTGTTTTTTGATTTTTTTTTTTAATGAAATCCTTCATTTACATTGTGCTGCTGTTTCTTTTTATGTTAGGACAACATCATACTGCTAGACAGCTTCATCTCAGACATGGTGGGTAACGCTTTGTGATAATCTGCAGTGCATATACACTTTTCTTCTTTGCTACTCGAGAGGTGAATTATGCTACGTTTAGAAAATATTGATCTTCCTTTCATTTGATTAAAGCGAACTTCCCATTGTCCTGCAGCTAAAAAAAATGGGGCTGTGTGCAATGTTTATATACAAATAGTCACTAATAAATACTTAGCACTCTGTGAAACCTCTAATCAACCTGAAAAGTAAAGTATAAGTAGAAGCATTATACTTACTCAGTTTTATTTTAAAGGGTATAAGTATAATACCCTTTTAAGATTTTTTCATGTTTACCAGAGATGTCAATGAGTGTGGTCCAAAACGTGCTTATTATTGAAATGTAAAAGGAATTGCTGCTGAGACTGAAAATGTCGTCATATGTAGTTGTCTACAGACTTTGATTCACCCAGTCAAGTTGAGACCCCGGAGACCATCGGTGACACAGAAAATCAAATGGATACGCAAGTTAATGACTCGAAAGAAGCTCTCATCACCCAAGTAAAGACCCTTGTAGAAAACACACAAGTGTATGTTGAACTGAAATGACAACCCGTCCGCAACCCCCATCTTTATGCACTATTGCAGATTCAGGAAGAGGAGGAAAGGAGGAACCGTGTGCGCATCTCAGACATCTACCGATATTATGACTTTTTGATGAAAACTGTGGAGGAGTTGGAATGAAATTTTGCTATATTTCACTGACAGCATCTGCACTGTTACGATAATTAGCAGATAATATGTGTACATCTATTTACTTTTCCATGTTTTACGTAAAATATATATATAAATATGTCTATATAAAGATACAAAAATGTCATGTTTTATGCATGATTTACTTTATTTAAAATTATTAAATTAATAAATTGAAAATGTAGAATGCATATTCAGCCCCCTGTACACTGATTCTACTAAATAAAATTGCACATTTCTACCTGAGTATTATTTAATTGTAGTAGCAATCCACTTCTGTGAAGGTTAGGCAGAGAACATTAGGAAATAAATCACATCATGGTTTTTAATTGTTTGAAACTCTGCATATTTATGTGTTAGAAGGGCTCAGTCAAAGCCCAGAGTTAAATTCAACTGAGAACCTGCTTCTAAACTCTAGAAATTTAGATAAAATCTGATCGAACTTTTTCTATTTTGAAAAGATGTTGGTGTGTCGGAAAATTCCTGCACATTTCGATTGAGCTACATTGAAATGTTCAGTTGTCCCATAAAAAGAAACAGTTCAAGAGATGAGTGACAGTAGATAAATTATTGCTCTTCAAAACAACAACAAAAAACCCCTACTAATCTCAAATTTTCAATCAGTTATTTTAGCTCTTTTCAAAAATACATATTTTTATATTTAGCAAAAAAATGTAAAAGAGGAAACTCACAACACAACCTAATAGTTTAAAGCGATTTTTATCCATCTATTAATTTATATCCTCTTTTTCTCTGTAAAGAGATTTAAAATGTTTATAGATTAATTTTTTGTGACTATTCTGAATCAAAAACTAGAAGCGTCGAACATACAATTCCCAGAATGCATATTGACACATCATCCAATAAGAATCGTGCTGCAACCAGACGTTTGGTGTTTAGCCAATAAAATACAAGAAAGCTGAGCGATTACAGGAAGACTCGCAACATTTATTCAGTCCGGCAGTCTGATGAAAGCTAATACTTTTGAACAGCCCCACTGTTATTTTTACGGTGATAAAACTTCCGTCAGTACCGTTTCTTGTCTCCGGTTGTGGCGTGCTTCTTGTTGACGTTCATGACGGTTACTGACGGTGTTTCCTTAGCGCTCATCATGCCTGTCCGAGCAGAGTGCCACTGTGGAGCCGGCGCGGCCTGTCCATCCTCGGCCTGTCTTGTTCCCCCTGCGCCAATCAACACCCAGCAACCCGGGGTGGCCACCTCTCTGCTCTACAGCGGCGCGCAGTATAAGGGTTATCAGAGGAGCAAAGGGAACTCGTATGATGTCGAAGTTGTTCTGCAGGTATTTTGATAAATGTATATTTTTTTTATCCTAAATTTAGCTTGCTAAATGTTTTTCATTTTTTACATTTTTATATTTTTGTTTTGAATGTAGACTAAAAATGCATTTTTGACACTTGTCTTGAAAGTTTACGTTCTGTGCACCAGACTATATGTACTTCTTTTTTTTTTTTTTGTAATATTCTAGCTGCAGATGTTTGTTGAGTAGCAACGAGAGCAGATTTTCAAATATATAACTTAATCCGTACTAGATTTTGTGTTTAAATGGGTAAATCTTTGTTTCAGTTTTTACATCATGCACTTTTTATGTGAACCCCGTGAGACATTACTGAATGTACCATAATCTGTTGGACAGCATGTGACGATGGACGACTCATATCTGTGTGGATACCTGAAGATCAAAGGCCTGACTGAGGTAAGCTTTGCAAACAGGGTCAGGTGCTCTAAGACTGACCTTTATGCTTCCACATGCTGAACACAGACTGGTCAATTCTTGCTGCAAACAGGCTGAATCCAGAGAAGGTGAGATTGGTCAAAGTGAGATATTTTCTGCCAGATATGTGTTAAGTTATGCAACCTGTAGAACCACTTTTGCTCAAAGTGCTCCGTCTGTCAGAGGACCTGCAGTTTGGAACTCACTTCCTGTCAATTTAAAGTCTGTAACCAGGTTTAGTATGTTAACAAAAAACAACAAACAAAACTCTGGTTATGTCAAAAATAGACATAACCATAAAACTTAATGTTTTATGTCTCCCTGTTTTTATATGCATGATTGTGTATATGTTGTCAACATTATGTCCTGCTACTATGATTATTACTCCAATTTCTACTAGTTTTAAGTTTAAAAGCCTATTTAGGGACAAGTGGTGTGAATTAGCTGCTGCTATAAGCTCTATAACACAAACATGGAACTGCTGTTCTGTTTAGTTTATCTAAGTTGATGTGTGTCTGTCCCTATCAAATAAATTTGAATAAGTAAATGCCCCAGTAAGGTTGGTGTGTGGAAGACGAGCAGTCATGTCAGTGAATAATGGTCAAATTTGAATGTTTGTTATATGAAAATAAATATTTCTCCTTTCTGAAGAAGAGCATTTTCATTCACTTCAAGGCTAGAAGGTTCAGTGTATCATCTTCATGTTGGCATGTTAGTAATAAACATTGTCCCAGAGATGAATATATTTCAGTGCAAAATGTGCACATAAACTTTAGAACAAAAGTTTATGCTCACTGATATTATTTCTTATTGAAATCTGAGAACAAAATCTGAATCCTGTGTTAGTCATTCTTGATTACTAGAAGATCTGATTTACAGCTGAACTACAAGCGTAATCATTAATTCGTTCCTTTCGGTCTGTGATATTTTTTTTCTGACAAGATATGTAAAACTTGACCTCTGTTCAACTATCTACCTGCAGTAGATAGTTGTTTTTTTTAATTATTATTGTTATTTATACTTTAAGTTTGAATAAAAGATGGCAGAAAACTATGCAAATATGATTTTAGAAGAGTCTGGACTGTTGACCTGAAAAATATGTGTTTGAACCCTGCAGTTTATTAGCAATATGAACCTTTTTGTTTTTCTTGTCCTTTTATATTTTGTAGGAGTTCCCAACTCTCACAACGTTCTTTGTTGGTGAAATAATCAGTCGCAGGCGGCCTTTTTTAACCCGGAAGTGGGATGCAGACGAGGATGTCGACAGAAAGCACTGGGTATGCCTGTCATTTTTTTGAACCAACTTTGTACTTCACCTAAAAATAATTAGAATTTTTTGTGCCCTGTATTGAACATTACTCTAGTGAAAAGCAAATAAACAATAATCAATATTTGGCGTCTTTTCCCTAAATTTTGGAGTTTGCATTTCAGATGATATATTTTTAAAGAGTATAAGTTTAAAAATGTATTTGAACCTATTGTTGATCCCCATATTTCCTATTCTCTTAAAAGGGGAAGTTTCAGGCTTTTTACAAGCATGGCAAAACCTTTAACTCGGACAACTTCGACTACAAGGCTTTGGAAAACAGTGATTACATCTTCATGAGGTGGAAGGTGAGCAGATTTTACGTCACTGCAGGAATTACGTCTCTTACTTGTTCGAACTATGCTTTGGCTTCAGCTGCTGTTGGTCTTCTAGGAGCAGTTTCTTGTTCCAGACCACACAATCAAAGACATCAGCGGCGCCTCCTTTGCTGGCTTCTACTACATCTGCTTCCAGAAGTCCACAGCCACCATTGAGGGCTACTATTACCACAGGAGCTCAGAGTGGTAATAAAAGTGAAATTTACACAAAATAAAAGTTTTTTTTTTTTTTTTGCGGAGGGGAGGAGATACGATTATAAATGTGAGTTTTTATATTTCATTTCTGCAGGTACCAGTCACTCAGTCTGAATCATGTTCAGGAGCATAGTATGCCTATTTATGAATTTCGGTGATATGAAGAATCTCTTCGTCAAGGTACGGCTAGTACCGCCCTGGAATTAACTGGAACATGACGCCACAACACCGATGGATAACCAGTTTTCCTCTCTAGGAGGAAGCTCACAAGTGGCAAGGTGCTCATTTCCTGATTTGCAAATAGGAAAGCACGGATTGAAGAAGAGCTGGACAAAAGATTGATAAGGCATGAACAGTCCAGACAGAGCTGCTGACGAGAAAAAAAACCCATTGTTTCTCGTTTGGCTTTTTTATTATTGTTATTATTCTTTACCATCGAGTGTTTTTTGCGCTCTATGTTATTGAACATCGCAATAGATCACAATCGATTCCTGATTATGGAGACACGTTGCACTTTTAGTGAAGGTTTGCAAAGGAAAAGACTAATTTTGTTCAACAAAGAAAATCTTATATTTAATAGAAAATGTTTAATTACCCATAGTGATTTCTTGGTGGTTTATGGCTAAAGGATTCTATTATAACTGAGAGGGTTTATTTTATGCAAGATGACAAATGATTTTGATAAGAGAATGTTAGTTGAAGTGGAACAGCTGAATGGGTACCAGCTGGATCAGAACAGGTCGGCGATAATCATGGTTTCCTCCCATGGTCTTCTATGCAAGCCAAAGAACTTGAGTGGAAAGATTTTCCCTTGCCTCTTAAATGTTTAATTTATTATAATTGAGACTGCTGCTTTATTTATGCTACAAGGTATTAATGATTTGTCAAATAACATGTTTCTGAAATCCCAGACCCAAAAATAGAGTTTTCTAGGTTTTGGGGGTAAGGACAAGAAAACATTTGGTGACTTATCCTTTAAGAGTTTTAGAGTTTATTTATTTTTTAAAAAAGGGTGAAAGTAGTAAGGAAGTGACAAGTAGAAACAAAAACCTAATATCTTATTTTTCGAAAAATCTGTTGCCTTACACTTGTAAAGCTTTTCTTCTTAAAGATACAGTTTTCCGGGATGACTTAGTGCAAATGTTTGGAAAATATCTCTTCGTCGTCTTTGTGGGATCCTTTAAGTTTTCCTGACCTGGGATGACGTAAAAGCCAAATTGCGTTTGGCCTGGTAGCCTACAGTTTTACAGCTGGGTTAAAGCAAGTTAAAGTTTCTTTTAAAGCAGTGCAATTAAATGCATAAACACAATCAGAAAATGTTTCTTCTTTTTATTTTTCATTCATTCATTTTATTTATTATTAACCATGTGTCAAAACAAAATGTGCAATGTAACCGAGCAAAATGTTTAGGAGAGTATCTCAAAGAGAGTGTTTCTAATTTGACCAAAACGGTGAGCTTCGTGAACTTTGGAAGTTGAATAAAATATTTGATATAAATGTTTGTATGTGATGTCCCTTCTGTTTCCTAACATAGAAATAGACTCATTACTTCTTGTCGGGAACCCCGGGTTATTACATTTTCAATTTGGGATATTTCCTGGATTTTTTTCCAATGAATGAATCCTAAAAAATAATTGTAATATGTGAAGAGTAACCACAATTATATAAACAGGACAATATTCCTTTTCTCTGATGGCATTATATAAATGGTTCTTATATTCATGCTGCCCATGTTCTGTCATACCATCTCCTTGAAATCCATGAACCTTTTTCATAAAATCTGCTCTTTATGTAGCGTAATCATTAAATGTTCTGGATGTTTTGATGCTGTCCAAGTGCAGCTAGATGGCAGCAGCCACAAAGTCAATCAAGAAACAACCAAAGTTTAAGTCATTCACAAACCGGAAAGTGTCGGATGTGAACTTGGCGCAAGAATACCTTCATACTTGGTATGAAGTGCCTGCTCCAGAACCAGAATGTTGTGGTATCACAATACTCTGAATTCATTTGACTTCTTCACTGGTTTGAAATATTCTAGCTATATGGAATATTTTATTCAAAATTTTCAAATTGACTTGCCAATACGAGGCATGCACTTCTAGTTTTTGGAGGATGGCAGAAGCAGGGGCTTAATTCAATTAAATAATATTTAAAGTAATTTGTACATAATGAAACTGAGGAATATATTTATATCTAGGCTTTTATACATGCTTTACTTTTTCACTGATTCGTTCTAAAATGTATTTATTTAAATGGACATGAGCGATATGTGTGACATAATTGGATATTTTGCATAAGAACTGTTTCATTTTGTGTATGTTCCTTGTATATGTTGCTGGGATCAGGCTCAGATGACATCCAGAGTTGTCTTTGCGAATTAGACTTCAATTTAGAATTTTAAAAAGTTTTATTTGTCTTGCGAAAATTTAGAATTTTAAAAAGTTTTATTTACTTTAATTCAAAACTCAGCCTGTCACACTTTGTGCCAATGAAAGTTCAAGTTCTTTGTTATTGTTATGGTTTTGTAACTCCCAAACTGGAAAAAAAAAATCAATATCCTAACTTACATAAAGAAAAATCTATTTTTAGACACTGTATTTAAGAAGATTATTTGAGCTATTGTCTTCCTGTAAGGGCACATGTGGGTGTGGAGAGTAATTGCAGTGTTTAGTGGCTGACGCTTCACTCTTGTCATTTCTACTTTGGGTTTCATCCAACTCAGATCAGAGATAAGTAAAAAGCGTTCTGAGCAAAACTGTAAACGAAAGCCAAATTTTTCTCATACCATGACGCATCTTAGCTCCTAATAAGCCAACCTGATTGGTCCTTTACATTTCTCATTGTCAACCATGGAACACTTTGGAACACTTCAGGAATTCCCTTTATGCAGAAGATCATTGATTCTGTCTGCATAAAGGGAGTGGCTGCCTGAGTGGTCCAACCACGCCTGTGTGTTGCGTAAGAAATATAAATTCACCTGCACGACATCTCCTGCACATTCCTGAATGTGGCTGAGAGACATCTATTGCACATGATCTATCCAGCTGTCATGGGGTCTGAGCGTTTCCCAATCAACATCCGTCTTACCGGAGTCCTTCAGAAGGAGAAGAACAAGGTAAGGAGAGATGGTGCCTTTGTCTGTTGGGTTAAACTGTAGAGGAATTTTCTTCTTTAAGAATATGGTGTATCTTCTTTCAGATGTACATAACATCTGTGCTTTGGTCGGATCAGAATGAAATTGTAGTTTACAGAAGCTTTAAAGATTTCAGAGAAATGCATGTAAGTATTAAGAACTGCACTATTTACTCCCTGAGCTTGTGCCAAATGACTTATTTCATGTTTTTCTCTCTTTTAGAAACAGCTGAAGAAGAAGTTTTTCTCTGGAAGTGAAATGAAAAGATCTGACAGAATCCTCCCTAAATTTCAAAGTAGGTGAGATTAAACGATAAATAATAAATGTCTAGCTGGATACAGTTGTAATTAATTAAATATTTTGTTGTTGTTGTTGTTTAGGCAACAAAATGAAGCAGAAGAGCCAAGGCAAGGGCCTTGATAAATCACTGGTGCACCTTAAGCATTTGCAGAAATACTGTAATGAACTCCTGAGGTGTGATCAACAAATCTCACAGTCTGCTGACCTGGCAAAGTTCTTGCAACCAAATGAGAAAGAGCTAAAACCAGAGTTCACCAAAAACAGGTAGGAGTTTCTTCTGCAACAATTGGAGCTGTTAAAATCCATCTAATGAGACAAGAAGACTAACAACATAGAAAAAACTTTTTTAAAAAAAATCAAGTAAAAGAAAATATTGCTACTTCTATTATTTATCAGAGCTTAATTAAAACATAAATCTGTCATTTTCATGTAGTTTGTGCATTCCGTCTCAGCTCCTGCTATGAGACACCATATCAATGTCCATAAATCCATCTGATATTAAATCAAATCATGTGAAGGTTTTGTAATTGTGAGGTTATTGTCACACATTTAAAAAAGAAACAAAACCTTTTTTTTTGTTGTTAAAATTGTAACTAAATAGTCATTCTTATGAAGATTTCCGAACTTCCCAATTCTCAAAATGAGATCACTCATACCAGAGAACTCCCATAATTACTAATAAGCATTTAGACAAAAAAAATAACTTTGCCGCCATCATAAAAGCAATGACATTTCAAAATTTCGGGAACAATACTTGTGGTAAATAGAAGTTGTTGTTTTTTTGTGGATAGATCTGATAAGTACAGAGCAGACATCTTGATTTGATTTGAAGGGAAGGTAACACAGGTGAAAAATGTCAGGTAGTGTTTTTGTGTGCACTACAGCACATGGCAAGGACAGTTACTGTAATTAGATCTGATGGAAGAAGTTTGTATGTATGCATTGCTTAATTCCCATTTCCGGAGGAAAAGGCAACTTAAAAGTTTTGATTTCTGATTGTACAACAAACTGACTGTCTGCAGATGAAAACTAGATTTGTGTTTTCACCTTAGCATCCTCATCATGCCCTCTGAGGACGAGATCAGGAGCTTCGACAGACAGGACACCGGCAGTAATGTGACCCAGCCATTTGTCACAGAGACCTACCGATGTATCGCCCCATATGAGACCAAAGACACCAAAAACAAACCTTTCAAAGTAGCTGTGAATGAGATGCTTGACGTTCTGATCAAAGACAAAGCAGGTGAGCAAAGCATAACCTGAGCAATGTTTAGATCGTTCCCAATCCAATCGGGGATCCTGTGAATGTGTGTGCAGGGTGGTGGCTCGTAGAGAACGAGGACAAGAGGATGGCCTGGTTTCCTGCACCCTACCTGGAGAACCTAGAAGATGAGGAGGATGAAGAGGAAGTGCATGGTATACCATCAAGAGGTATGAGCAGAGCTATTAACATTTTATCGACATTAATTGATGAGTTAGAGGAGATTATTCCTTAAGCTCTTTATGCCTCCCATAGGGGCGCTTTACATAGTTGTCAAGAGCCACAATTCCAACATAGTGGATGAAATAAGCGTGAACATTGGTGAAGTGGTCGAGGTCCTGCGGACCCCGGATAATGGCTGGTGGTTCATAAGGTAATATTTAATCCTTCTACAAAGGATGGAGATGTCCTTAATTACTATTATATGGGATCTATAATGTTTGTGATTGCTCAATGAAAGCGTTTGAAGTTTGTCAGAATATATCAGTGCACATAAGGCATTGTGAAGATCAACAAACACACCTCACAGGTTAGGGATAAACTTGTATCAGGTTTAAAGAACGTTTAAATTATAAAACAAGCAATATCCAAAGCTTTGGACATCTCAAACAGTTTTAGTTTTGGGCCTATGAGCAAAATGCTGCATATCACTCCAAAAAAACACCCCCGTTGTGGAACATGCTGGCAGCTGTCTGATGGTGTGTGGACGCTTTGCATCAGAGAGGACAGGAAAATTTATCAGAATTAATAAAAAGAAGGAATGAGCTGAATTCATAGCAATCCAGCGAGAAATCTTGCGCAACAGGTCTTAAAATGAAATTATCAATGCATAATTGTGTGACAATAAGACCCAGTCAAAGTCCAGAGCTAAAAAATGTGCAGTTGTAATTGGCCTGAAATGAGGTTCCACAAAATATTGACCTCTGACGGCAATTTGGGTGCACCAGTTTTTATTCCGGGGCATCAGATAAATGGGGATTGCATATAAATGCACACGAACTTTAAATGTTTTGTATAAACATGCTTGTAGTATGTTTTGTTTTTTCTGATTGCTGTTAGCTCAGTTCTGAGAAGCTCAGTGTTATAGTAAACATCTTCATGTCCTCTTTTATCTTCTCTGTCTTTTGACAGACACAAAGGGAAAATGGGCTATGTCCCATCTCTGAACCTCCAGCCCCACATATACCCTCGGGTTCAGATGGGGTCTCAGTGTAATGTCCAAAACTCCTCTTCACTCCTGCCCCCCTCCTTTACCTTACACCACAGCAATTCCTCTGGCAACCTAGCCCAGCATCCAAACCCCAGGCCCACCTCCCCCAGCCTCTTCCCAACAGAAAGAGGCTGGTTCAGAGACAGGTCCCAGTCTCTGAACCAGTTGTCCGAGGAGCCTTACGCTCGGCCTGCAGTGAGCCTCCCTGCTCCAGCAAACGACTACCCCGCCTCCACAACATCTCCGGTGCAAGCCCCCGTTCCAGTCATCCTGGTGCAGAGTGACGCAGAGCAGGAGCAGAACGGACAGATCCTCAGAGCGGAGTCGGTGGACAACTATGAAACCGACAGCTTCAGCGATGATGCCCTCAGCCTGAGCTACGGCGCCAACTACAATCAGCTGCGATTCTGCCACACGGCACAGCCCATAGTGTCCAACCACCTCAGCCCAACGAGCAAACCTGAGGGAACTCTGGTACCCAGCGTCTCCGACCCCAACCTCTACAAGGGGCCCCAACCCCCGAAGGTTCCCCCGAGACCCCGGCCCAGGAGATTCTCACCCACTGTTCCTCAGTCACCCGTAAGAATGTGACTAAAAGAAACCCCTGTCACCAACTTCGACTGAGGTAACGGGTCTATGAAAATTAAAGCTCTTTGTTATTCTTATGCTATTTTGCAATAACTGCACACTGGATTCTTGACTGCCTTGGAACATAAAAAAACAATCAGATATATCCTTTCACTTATGTGATCAATACTTTAATATATATAAAATAAACAAGTAACCAACAACTGGGTGTATTTTGTCTGAATAGCTCTGTGTTTTAAGTTTTATATCAACTCATACCAGAAAATCCTCTCATCTGATATCTGTACATATTACATTCAGTTAACTGTAAAGATTAAATGAATAAAATGATCTTGTGGGTTTAATACTGAATGCTTTTGTGTCATACCTGAAAGAAAATGTTCAACGCATGGAGTCTTCACATGTAAAAACATTATAGTGAGAAGAGTCTCATTTTTTTGAACATGTTGACTCATTTTTGTACATTGTTCTTGGTGAAGTAGCCTGGACCTACTTAATGAAGTTCTGTAAACATCAGTTTTCAATTTTTAATTAAAGTCTGGACTTTGGCTTTGACTGAGTTTTTAGTTGTGTTCTGAATATAAGGCGAACCTCTGCCTCAGTTGCCAAGGGCAGTAAACCCAGAACATGATGCGGTACTGAAATACACAACCCTAATGTTACAAAATGTGAAAAAGCTAGAGGGGTATGAAAACTTATGCAAAGCACTTTGGTTGCACGAGAGCTTGTGGAGTCTCAACTTTCTTTCCCAGAGATTAATTTAGATGTGAATCAAAATTTCTGATTCTTCTCCAAAGCTTCCTTCAGACATTTCAGAAAGGTAAAACTGACATCTTTTGAAATGCAAAGGGCTTCAGAAAACAAACAGCAGCAACATCCTGTTAGACAACAACGCTTTAATTTTTATTTAACTAAAAAAAAAAACAAGCTGGTTGTCTGCAGGATTTGTTTCTGTGGTTTTCTTCATTGGTTGATCACAATTTGCTCTCTAAATGCTGACATAATTCTATGTCAAGAATAAGGCAGAAAGCTGCTTTTTGGTTATTTAAAAAAATGGATGCCTGAATGCTAGATTTTGCAACAACAAAAAAAAAGAAAAACAGAAAAAAAAAATTCTCCTGCTTAACAATCAGACAAAATAAAATAAAAATTCAATATTCAGTACAAAACCTTTAAAAATAGGCCCATAAAACAGAGATTTATTCATAAACATGAGTCACTACATTAGAAAAATTTTCGTTTGCAGGTTACATGAGGAAGCTGCAGATTTTTAATCTTGTAAAAAGGTGTTCTGTACTGCTGCATACCTACTGCCTAGAATCAGCTTTACAAAAAATCACCCTGGCACACAGCCTCAACACTTATACAACCAGTTCTTCCTCCCAAAGGCCTCCTTGACGTTATGTGAAATGAAATCAGGATGATTCGCTCGTTTTGTTTCCCGTCTAAAACCTGCATAGAGGAACTGATTAGGGGTTTAGGTAGCACAGAAATAGTCACAGTGAAACCTGTTATCTGCTTTGCATCAATTCCCCCTAACGGCTGCAGTCAGTCAGTCAGCTAATGATCTGCAGAGTTGAACCTCAGGAGGTTTCCTTCTAGAGACAAACTCATTGATCCTGTTAGCTTAAAGTCTGGAGCCGGGGAGCAGATGAAATCGGGAGATTTTGCATCACTTGCATTATGTGATCGTCCTCCTCTTCCTCCTCTGAGCTCTCCTCAATCTCTGATCGGTGGCACCCGTTGGTTTCTCCCTTTATTCCCCGTGCGTCGTTAGCAGAGGCTTTCTTCGAGGCACTGATTTCTTCGTCCTCCTCTTCATCTTTCACGGCAAAACCAGACTCCTCTTCTTGCTCTCTATCCCCGTCATCGCCTCGGTCTTCCCTCTCATCGGTGCTGCCTCTTGCTTTCCCTTTATTGAGAAAAAACAAGGACTGCATCTGCGTGAGAGGAGTGGTGTCCATGTCTTCATCCTGCTCCATACTAAAAGAGATGGAATAAAATGAATTAAAGATCTAGTTTACAGAATGTATGAAGCAATCACGTGCAGTATTTCGTGCCAGCAAGTTCAGAGTGGAAAACCTTCAGCTAGGTATTCATGGCTTTGCAAAAATGCAGCTCAGCTAGCAATCCTTGATCACCATGAAAATGAAACACTGGCTCACTGTCTGTGTCGTAATTCATGTAGGAGACAAGCTGCACATACTCATCAGGAAGTAAAGTTATTGGGAGGCTCCACATAAACCAGCAGTCAGTGCAGAGTAATTTCTTCTTTTTTTTCCTCCGAAGAGTTTTTGCGATGCAAGTGGCTTGTATTTTTGACAGTAGGCAGACAGGAAACATTGTGAGGAGAGGGGGGAAGACATGCAGCAAAGGTCGCCGGGACCAGGAGTCCACGTTGAGGACTGAGGCCTCCAAACATGGGGCGTACTAATCCCCTGCGCCACCACAGCACACCCCAGTAAAGAATAGTTTCAACCTGAGAAGTGAAACAGCTCACCCAGATGAGGCTCCAGCGACTCGCATTTTCTGCCACATGTAGTTGAGAAACATGGACGCCTGTTGCAGGCGGCCGATCCTCTCCATGTGTCTCTCTGTGGGGAGAAGAAGATAAATAAACGACCCTTTTAGTAAATAAAATACACGTGAAGACCAAATTAAGGTGTCAATATGCCTAGTTACTGATTAAAATACAACAAAATACTTTCACCTACACTAAAGGCTGTTTTATTATTATGGTTTCAACAGGAAGGAGAATGAATAACTAGGGTCAAGCTTTCCATTAATAAAGTTCACGTTGCCGTCTTTCTGACCTTTGTGTTTCTAATAGAGAGCAAAAGATTTTCTACCTGTCATTAAATTTACATTTGCAGATCTTTCCTTGATTGTCTGCTGCTATTGGGATCTAAAATGTTGCATACCTAAAGTTTAGGTTTTATGCTCATTAAACAGATCAAAATTAAGAACTCAGACAATTTTCACCTCTAAAAAAAAAACCGATCTGTGCATTTTTAACTGCTTTCCGTTTCTACAAATGTAAACACACACTGAATGTCAGTGCCAGTGTTTTACTCTAGATGTAACACTTTGTATCCATTTTACCGCCTGCTGACCTGTGTACGGGATGAGACCCTCTAGGTGCGTCCGGGCCCCCTGGAACTGCAGCAGCTCCTCGGGCGGCAGGTGGGTCAGCAGCACCTGGAGGACCGCGTGGGCGTCCAGACAGTTCCTGGCGTTGGTGTTCCACACGACACAGTAGCGCAGGAGCGACTCTGAGTGGGACAGCAACCAGAAACATTAGATGCTGAAGAAAAACAACATTTTAATTGTCTGTTTATTATTAGAAAATTTAAGACATTAATTGCTTCCAAATAAATCAAACTGCAGTTATGGTCTGTTTCAGAACCTTCTAACAATCCAAAACAGATTTATTTGTTTGTTTGTTACCTTTTTGATCTACTCGCAGCCGCAGCAGCGTCGTTTCCATCAGATCGCTGCTGTCCTCCACCTGACGAATGGCTAAAACAACACAGCAATAAGCAGCCAGGTTTAAAACAAACAAAATATTTTGCATACAGAAAACGCACTGGCTTCTTTTTTTTAATCAGATAAATATACACATGATTTTTTAAAGCTGTTAAAAGAAGGATAGTTTGTCGAGATTTCTGCAGCAAGTTTGTCTCTTTTCAACACTCAGAAATCTGAATAATAAGTCATGAATATATTTCTTCACTTCCTGTTCAAATTCTCCAGTACTATTGCAAAACAACAGCCGTTGTTAGAAAAGTTTGTCCCCTGTATGCTTCAATGAACAAGTGAGTCAGTTGGAAGCCATTCGTGACAGACGGAAAATGAACGCAGTGCAGTGGAAATACGACAAAGACAGTGTCTGTATTTACTTAGCTTTGGAGGAAAACAAAGCTAGAAACAAGGTTGAAAAAACAAGTTAAGGTCAACCTTTGATGACAGTGAGCACTGTGTGAGGCTGGTCCAGTGAGATGGCGAGACCCAGGGCCTTCAGGTATTTCTTCTCGTGCAACAAGTTGGACAACTCCTGCTGCCTTTAACACAATGGAATAAAACTTTAAGCCATAATTATCAATATGAGCAGAAATAAACAGTTGAAATAAATCAATATGCCAGAGTTTCCCCTTTGAACTGAGTTTTTGCAATAAATCAATCCTTTGATGATATTTTAATTTAGATTATCATTGTAAAATATACTAACTCTCAATCTCTCCCACACCGTTTAAAAATGTGTAATGCAAAGGACGATTTGGATGCGATATTTGATAAGATTACTTACAAGTGTCACTCTTTCAAATCTGTTTTTCTATAATGTTTTTAGATTTAGGAAACTTTGGTTTAATCATAATTTAAACTATTACAGTATCCAACAATAGTATCACAAATCAAGCTTCTCTGCTTTTCAGTTTTTTTGTGCATCCCTTCACATTGATGGAAATGTTCAGGAAACATTTGGTGATTTAAAAGATAAGTAAACCACCAAATGTCTGCAGTTTTAGTGAAAGTAAAAAGACGGGGACGAAAACCAAATTAAAGCAGCTTGATCTGTGACACAAAATAAAAACAAATTGTTGTCCAAGTCTTACTTCAGTATCTGGTCCTCTTGTTTGGCTTGCTCCTCTGCCTGCTCCACTTTAGTCACATCCTAATGCAAATAATGACGTCAGCGTAAAAAACAGTTGTTTTGTAGAGAGTAAGAACTATATGGTAGTATATTAGTGAACCTAATCCATTCTGACCTGCTTTTTTGACCATAAACTCTGAACTCACCAGCCACACGGTGATGTTTGAGTCTGCTGAGCCTGTGACCATCTTGTCGTCCTTACGGCTGCCGTGGAGACCCCACACTTTGTCCTGGTGGGCGTCCAATGTTTTCACACACTCATTGGTCTTAATGGTCCACAGCTTCACCAAACCGTCTGAACCGCTGAGGGGGAGGAAAAAGTCAATCAACAAGGTTTTCAGGCAGCTGTGTGTATTGAAGACAAGATAAAAAAAGTATTTAAAAAAAAGCTTTAGTGAAAATCTCACTGCTTTGCATGTATACTTAAATATCAATTCTGCTTTTTATCCAGTTATTGGGGCTGAATGCAAATGCAAGCCACACTTGTCAGATGTTTAAAAATCAGATTTCTTCCATTAGATATTATAGGCTACATTGTGTTCTGATCTGTCACATAAAATCAAAATAAAGTTTGAGAGAAATGTGAAAAAGTTAAAGAAGTATTAAGTATTTTTGCAAAGCTCTGTGTAGCTGACCTTTATTTTTTTTACACAATCATTCTTTAAGCACACCACAATGAAGTCATACGGTGACCTCATAAATAATGGGAACAGAGGTAAGTTAATACCTGGACAGCAGCTGGGTGCCACGGCTCACAAAGATCACTTTCAGAACTGATGCATCATGGCCCTCAAATGTCTAAACAGGAAGTAATTTGAAGAGCAGTTCTCAGTTAACTTATCGTGCTTCAAAATGAAACACACATCCTAACAGACGTGAGATGCCCTGATGCCGTCCCACCTTGAGGCAGCTGAAGTCCTGCAAGCTCCACAGCTTGGTGGTGCCATCTGCAGAGGAGGAAGCCAGGATCTGGTCCACGGGAGAGAAACACACACTCCAAATGCCCCGCCGGTGACCCCGAAACACACCCAGGAGTCCCAGGTTTCCGTCCCCCGATAGGGTCCAGAGTTTGGCTGTGCGGTCCTGCGAGCCGGAGGCCAGCAGTTTGTCGTTGGGAGACACTGAGACACTGTTTACATCCTGTAGAAACAATGAAGAAGGAAACAACAGGTATCAGCTGGAACGGAATCAAAAAACCTTCAGAGCACTGGAGATTAAAATAAGGATGTGCTTCAAAGTTTTTCTTCCTTACTGAAATAGATTCTTATCATTCATGAATTCAAGAGTCACTTCCAAGGTAATAGGGCTTGAAATTTTCACAATGAGTTGAAGGAGAGTGACTCAGGAAAAGGAAAGCTAGGTAACCCTGAACAGATGATAGTCTGATTGATCTTTTGTTCGTCTCATGCCTGAAAGTGTGTGCGTAACTGGAAAAAGTGATAAATGGAAATGTTTCTTTCCGGTATCAGGCTGATGGGAGACAAAACCAGGAATGATCCTGCATTTCCTTCTGAGCAGAGCCACCATACATGAACCTGTTTCCATGATGACAGATGTCTGGACTTGGAATTTTATTCTGCTTTGGATAAAGGCCAAGATCTTGTTATACAAATAAAATCTGTACCTTCTGAGCTTAATTAAAAAAAAACACACACATATCAAACATTTACTTGTTTGTGGATCTGAAAAGGTGTTGCTGAGCTTCTTCTTAACTTCAATATTTGACATGTAATTAAGGTAAAATGTTGGATGGAATATGTATTCAATCAACTACTTAAGACTCTCTATGTCCTGTATAAACATGCAGACAAAGACAGTTTAAAAAATGATAATAAAAGGGCCAAAGAATTAATAATATTTATGTAAAACTTTCTAATATGGTGAATCATTAAAAACCACTCTTCAAAAAACTTGCACAAAAACTGTTCTCCATTTATTGACACCCTTGGTAAAGATTTGCAAAAAAAAAAAAAAAAAAAGTTTTTATTGGAGAATCACAATCTCACATTTTGGGTTCCCACAAATTTACATTTCAAGACTGGTTTCTGGATTTTCAGATTTCATGAGATTTACTAAGTTTTATTTTTATTTATTTTTTAATCAGTCATAAGGTAAAGTACTACTTCAATGTTTTCTTTCAACACCTGGATAAATTTATGAAGACATAAAATATATACAAAACACAATACAATAAACTGACCCTAAAAATACTGTAATTTTTATTATTTTTTGTCTTGTACCTTGTCGTGTGCCTTCTCTGTGGTGCGGGGCCTCAGCTGATGGATTTCGTCTCCAGAAAATTCGGCTGGCAGATCCCACACCTTCACGGTGCAGTCCTGGCTGCCGGTCACAACGAAGGACGCTTTCATCCTAGACATGAACAAAAATGGAAATTCACTCAAACAGCTGGATTAATCAGCAGCTGTCACAATGTGAGTGTGTGTGTGTGTGTGTGTGTGTGTGTGTGTGTGTGTGTGTGTGTGTGTGTGTGTGTGTGTGTGTGTGTGTGTGTGTGTGTGTAAAGGAAGACGAGAAACCTCAGCAGTCAGGGAGCAGCTTTACCTTGAGCAGCCGATGGAGCCAACAGCATTAGTGTGGCTGGATCCCTGAGCTACACATCGGACCTGACCGCTGTCACTGTCCAGCTGCCAGACACGCACTGACCGGTCCTATGCACACACACACAAAACAGCATGCAAATGTATATGGCTTCCCAAAAATCTGTAGGTGCATGACTAAACAAAGTCAGAGTTTGTGTTTACCTTTGCACAACTTGCAAACAGAGAGCCTTTTTTGAACACATCCAGAGTGAGGACAGTATCTAAGGAAGATAAACAAAGAAAACAGAGCAGTGATAAACATTTTCATCTAACCTGCTCAGCAAGTCATGAACTTGACTATTACAGACTTAGTTTGGTGGTGCTGCCCTCTGCTGGTCACTCACCTGTGTGTCCGTAGAGAATCTGGCAGCTGTTGGTGAGCAGCTGGAAGACCTTCAGCTGACAGCTGTTAGTGGCCACCACAATGTGAGTGTCATCTTTACCCAGGAACTTCACGTCCAGCACCTCGTCGTTGTAACCCACAAACTATGGGAAAGATACACGTTTCCATTAACTCTAACATAACCAATATCTTCATAATATAGCAGATGTTACCTTCTTAACACAGCAAAGTCATAAAATAATTCAACATACAACTTTAATGAATTTTATAAACCAGAATCTGGTGCACAAGTTTGAATTAACATAAGTATGTACAAGCAAATTCATACATACACCTGCTTTAATATTTGGAGTAATTTTCCAGATGGTTGCTAAGAAACCTTAAGCTTCTTTTAATCATCAAACAGCATCTGAACTAAAGATTTAAACCATCTTCTAAAGAGAAAAGGTGGAACAGATTTGAAGTGAATCTTTTCACTTTTAAGAATATTTCTAGTCACATAAGGTTTATTATCCACGTGCTTTATCAATTCCAAAATGGCGTCACTTTTCTGCTGCGACACCCAACTATGTCCAAGTTTCAACCAAACAGATGTTACTCAAAGTATAAAGTCAAAGGTTACAAGAACTGTCGCACAATCACTGCAACGAACAACTCTAATGTAATTCTTAATTAATTCTTATATTACTTCTGCAGCAGTAATATAAGGGCATGATGGCACATGAAATGATCTGCCAGTATTGTGTTTTAAACAATCTAGATGATTTATGTTATAAATAACCTTCATTTTATTATTGTATTTTTTTATATTAGCAATAGCAGAATAATAGATCAGTCTGGCAACAGGCTTCCTAAACAAGACAAAGACAGCACATGCAGCATGAGTCATGCATGTAATCAGTCAATAATAAGTAAATCGCAGTACTGACTTGCTGCTGTGTGGTGAGATTGGGTAGCTGGTAGAAGAGTATATTGTGCTCTGCAGTGACCGTCGCCAGTCTGGAGGAGGCAGGCAGGTGGAAAAGGTACGTCAAACTGCGAGGGTTGTCGTCCTCTTTGTCTTCCTCAGAGGAAGGAGTGAGGGTCGAGGGAAGGCTCTGGGTATAAACACAATGAGCAGTGCTTGCCTCCCACACTCTCAGCACACCTGCAGGAAAAAAGGGGAATAAAGGTGAGGTGTAAAATTGCAAAAAAAAAAATAAAAATTTACTTAAAGATAGTTGTGGAACAAACCTTTGCTTCCAGCAGTGACAAAATGCAAGTTTTTGCTTTTTACTCCGATCTCAGATAAGTCTGTCTTCCTAGGCAGCAGCACAACTCCCTCAACAGCCTGGAGACAAAAGTAAACAAACACTAAGTTAATTTTTACTGAAACAGAAAAAAAAATGGGAATGCTTTCTCACGTCTCACCTCGTAAACAGGAACAGTTCTTTTAGCCTGGCGAGATTTGAGGTCCCAAACAGTGCAGATTTTATCCCTCCCAGAACTACAAGTAAAACGTTAAGACTAAGCAGTGCCACATCTGAAAATCAGTCGGGTAATAAAAAGAAACTGCGTTGGTGCTGGCCTATTTCTCCGTACCTGACCATGGTGTCACCGTCTTTGCTGAAGCTCAGAGAGGTGACGGCGCTGTAGTGGCTCTCCAGGACGCACACACACTGGCTGGAGCGCAGGTCCCACAGCCGAATGCCGCAATTCACAGATGAGGAGAACAACTGCAGTCGGCTGATGTCAGGATGGAACTGGACCAAGCTGCACGAGCACACAAACGAAAGAACACAGTTTTGTTTTTCCAATCAAAGTCATGATTCTGTGTGGCTGGATAATGTTTCACCTTCACATGAAGGGTGAGGGGTATGAATAGTGATGCAAAACTATTCAAATCTTTTCATATCTTTTGTCATATTACAACCACATAATACCCAAGACATGCAGGTCCACCTAAACTAACAGGCCGAGAAAGAAAATTATAAAGCAGAGATGAACTGCAGGATTACTACCCCAAACATCCAGAGGTACAATGCAAAGGTTTATTTACAGATATGTGTTAGAATGGCCTAAACCTAAATCCAATTGAAAATCTCCAACAAGACTTGAAAATGTATGTTCAAAGAGGCACTCCTGATCTGAGCAGCTTTATAAAAAAGAATGTGTCGACTTTCAGTCTCTAAATGGGTCAAGCCAGCAGAAAGACTTTAAAGGTATTGTCGCTCTATTTGAAAATTATGGTGTTTTTTTTTTACACTTCACAATTTTGCACCATTTTGTGCTCATCTTATCATACAAAGTCTTAATGAACTGATGTTTGTGGTTGTTTTGTGACAAAAAGATCAAGGCAATAGCAACACTTCTGCAGCAGTAATATAAGGGCATGATGGCACATGAAATTGTCTGTTTCATCCTCATTCTTGGGCCTTGTTCATAGTGACACTTACTGCACTACACCGGATGATCCTTTGAGGTTGTGAGTGCAGTACTGCTTAACCACATCCCAAACTTTTATGGTGGCATCACAACCGCCTGCAGAACAAACACAAATCAGAAAAAACATACTTCTTTTTATATGATGATGTAGCAGAGATCAGATGATTTGTGTTCAAATCATGGCATTGCTGACCTGTGGCAAGTAGGGTGGAGGTGGGGTCAAAGGTCATGCTGGCCACAGGGACGGTATGAATAGCCTTCCAGGAGCGAGTGCAGGTACCCTGCCTCCAGTCCCACTGCTTCAGTAGCAAAGCTCTGCTGGCTGTCACCAGCAGCTGGACACAAAGGAAACATGAGTTTCTGTTTTAACCTGATCTGCTGATACACCTTGAACCTTAAGAGGAAGTATTCACTACCGACCTCATCATCACAGCTCACTGCAAATGATGTGATATCCTCTTGATCATCCTGCGGGGCATATTTGGACAAAGTTAGGAAAGAGACCCCCCCCACACAAAACACTTTTTATCACCACGTGGATCTAAATCTAATTTATTTACATTAACAAATAGCAGACAACTACAAAGGAGTTGTTGTGTTTGTGACAAAAAACCACAAGGGAAAATGTCTGGGAATTTTTTTTATTTTATAACAGGTTCAATATTTAGCTGAAGTGACTGATAAAAGAATTTCAGCTGAGATTTTCTTTTATTTCAGCTAGAATGTGACCAAGTCAAACTACTGTATTGTCATATTTATGTTTCAACGTCGATATGAACTCACATGTTCCACACAGTGGACAATCTTGCCCGTGCTGATCTCCAAAACATTGACACGGGATCCACATGTGCAGAAAATGTACTTCTCATCTTTGCTGATCTGGAAAAAAATACACATAGACAATTTCACATTTAGAGTGCAACTCACTCAGCCTCCAACCAAAACACAGCTTAACTAGGACAAACTTCTCACCTGCACTTTCCCTCCTTTGTAAAACGGCTCAATTTTGCTGGAAACAGCGTAACTGAAATGACATTCAGACGGAAAAGCATCAATGTGAGGTTACGACTCTCCATCATACACTTTCGTTCGGGTAAGAGCGACGCAAGATAAACTTACTTCGTTTTGAACTGCAGGTTTGTGTTCGCCATAATGAGAACTGGAACCTCCGAAGCAAAATATTTTAGAAAACAAACACAATATAAATCACTGGTTTCTCATTTCACACGTTGACTGCAGCCACCACCATCCGTCCCGCATGTTGTTGCCCGTGTCGCACGCGTTGTACGTCATCTGAGTGAGCGGAGCGGTGATTGGTCAAAAGTTCAGGACGTAAAACATTACGTGGTCCTGCTCGAAGGTACGTACGCTAATTCGTCCGCCACGTTTGTAGAGGAAGTGGAGGTTCTTGATGTTTCTGTTATAGAAAATAAAATAACTTAGAAACTTGAAAATTAACCAAGAAATCACAGAAAAGAAGTGGTTTCAGTGTTGACCTCGCAATGAGATAGTTTTAAAATCTTGATAAACTCTTTAAATATGTTATTTTCACAAAATAAACATACAGTTAAGCTATCAGTGGCATTAATTTGCAAATGAAAATACGTTATTATCAATAAATATATGCATTAATTTGCAATAAAAAAACTTTTTGCTTAAAAATATGCGACCTTAGCAAGGTGAATAAAATACAGGATAAACCCCGCTCCCATCCAGAGGTCTACTGAAGATGGTGGTGAAAGACTTTAATACATCATCCCAGGTGTCCCTCTCCAATATGGCGGCTTCATTGTCGTGCCAACCTTTGCTAGAAATAAACATTATCCCAGTCCTAGCTCTGAAATGCTTTTTATAGACTGAGTAAACAGAGTTGCTAAGATTACTGTAGACAGATTCAAAATATTTTATACGGGTTTAGTCACAACATCTGGCAGGTGCTGGTTTTAAAAGTCCCAGTGAGACCCGGGAAGCTTGAGTTTGATGCTAGAACAGCAGGGAAAGGACGCTGCCGACAGTAAGAACTGAAGTCTCCATTTGTCCGGACCCACTCTCTTCTTCATGTTCTGTCAGGAATGTTCATGTGTGTGTTGTATTGATAACAAGGGTGTGTGTTTGTGTGTGACATGTGAGAGATCGATAATATGGAGTAAAGCAGCAACGAGAATGGAAACGCCATAAAGAACGAGGAGTTGTCATGGTAAGTCAACAACAGTTTATTTGCTTTAGTTGTATGTTATTTATTTATTATGGATACCATCAGCAAATTATATTTAAAATATATATATAAACATAGAAAATGGTAAAATCTTTGGGTAAGGAGATATTTGTATTCTGCTCTTAAGTAATTAAGCAAATACTTTAATATTACAGTCCATATTTGAATTAATTAAATACCTACTAAGCCAAACATGATGTTAAATTAATAGGAATTAGTTAATGACGAAAAGGGAAGGAAATTGCTGTGTATAGTATTTATTTTTTTGTAATCATGTGATTGGTCATATGACTTTCCAGAACAATTCTGTTTTGTTGTCCCTTCCTTTATGCCAAAGAGCTATTGTAGGGAGATGTGGGAACATGATGTTAAAGACAACACGCTGCTTCATTTAGGATTGCTCTCAGTTTTCCTATGTCGCTTTTATTCCATAACCAAATGTTCTTCAGCAAAATCTGCGCTATAATAAAGATTTGACACTGCACTAGGCTGACCCAGACGTTTCAGCACAGAGTGGGGGCTACGACGTGGAGCTGTTTGTAGACCCTCCGGACTACGATTTGATCTGCACCATTTGTCAGGGGGTCCTCAGATGTCCAGTAAGAAGTGCATGCCACCATATCTTCTGCAAGAAATGCATCTTACAGTGGATGAAAAGGTCTACAATACTTTACATCTAATCACTTTTGAAATATGAGCCTTAATTTGTTGTTCAAGTGGAGAAGTAACGACAAGCTGATCTTGACCTTGTGCAGGCAGGAGACTTGCCCTTGCTGCAGGAAGCCGGTAAACCCAAGCCTGATCTTTGTCATGTTCAAGCTGAGCAAATCAATTGGACGCTTGAAAATAAAGGTAGGAAATTCAAACAGTTTGAGCGTGTTTGCGGACTGTCATATCCTTTGTTAGACATTTCACTTCAATATCTTATTGGCTGAAGAGTATTTTATAGGGTTTGTTTACACATTATATGACTGACTACTCAAACAAACTTGATGTTGGGAATGTAATGCTTAATTCTACATTTGCTTGGCATTAATTTAAGATGAATTAATTCTTTTGTTTCCTGAGTTATTCTGCCAAATATTGTGTGTCTGATTTAAATTATGTAATTGTTAAAAGAAACCTCTGCGTGTATCTCTGTCACAGTGTAAAAATGAGATCCGTGGCTGTGCAGAGACCTTTTCCCTCTCAGAGCAGTACTGTCACAGCATGACCTGCCTGTACGAGCTCATCCCCTGCCCGTACCAGGGCTGCAGGGCGCAGCTCCTGCGCAGGGACATTGACACCCATGCGCGCCACTGTGAGCACTGGCGGCAGCCCTGCCCCATGGGCTGTGGGACAATACTCACTCACAGCACCCAGACTCAGCACAACTGCTACAAACAGCTGAGGCAGGAGTACGAGGCTAGGCAGAGGAACCACAGGGCCATCGCCACGGCCCTGCATAGGAAGATGAAAAGGATGCAAAGCACCATGGCCCACATGAAGAGGCAAATAGGGTTAATATGTGAGAGCCTGGAGGTAATGGATGACCTACCCGAGGTGGAAGAGGAAGTGGACCTTGGAGAGAGCAGCGGCAGTTCCAGTGGGACTTCAAGCAGCAGCAATTGTTAAGGGAGCAAATTGCTCTTGTGTTTGTTTTCTTCAGGTGGTGTGCTTAAAATGAGTGATTCTTTGGCCCGTTTGTTCTGTAGCCCTAATTATTTTTAAAATAAATGATTCAGTATTAAATTTGATGTGCATTTTGCCTTAGCAATAGACAATGAATCCATTTGTGGTTGATTGATAATTATTACAAATACTTTATATTTAGAATTATGAATACTTTGACTATTTATGAGCCAAGCAATACAAGAAGAATCATTTCAGCAAGACACTAATGAATTAATATAATAAAAAATATGTAATTATGTATGGTAAGAGATGATAATAGCAATAGTAGCATTGTGAATAGTGATAACAATAATACTAAAAATAATAATACATACCTGCAACCTTTAAAACACTTTCCATTAAACATTTTCTAAAACAAAGGTGGATAATAGAATAATGTGTGTTATTCTTCCTTTTAATTGTTTAAACCATAGCAGAGGGAGAAAAAAGAGAAAAATTATATATCTGCAGCAATTACTATATTAGAGTATTTTTATTTGAAATAATAATGGTATTTTTGTGAAATATCAATTTTTAAACTTGTGTAATATCAAGTGGGGTAGGAATCACATTTGCAAAAGCTACCAATAGAGGCAGCAGAGAGCAGATTCTCTCCTCGCGGAAACATCGCGATGACACGATCCAGTCAAAACCCGGCGGAACTTCTCACGGTTCTTCTTCCTGTTATACTGATCACGTAAGTGCACATACATTTCGGCTCTTGTGTTGAAATCTTTAATTATCTAATGCATCGTTCACGTAAAGACATTATTTTAACATCCAGTCAAACATATAGACGTCCGTTCTTATTTATCTGTGGATATTTAAAGGCAAATGGGAACTAAATGTATTCTTTTAAATAAAAGAAAGTCACAAAACATGGCGGCGATGCTCGTGTTTTGCAGAGATGATTAAACTTGTATTGTATCCAGGTATGGCAGTTAGTCCAATGCTTTGGTTTGATTTGAACATTTACAGCAAATGGCGGACGACGCCGGTGGTAGAGGAGGTTTTCGCGGAGGCTTTGGCGCAGGTGGCCGCGGTCGTGGCCGTGGACGCGGCAGGGGCCGTGGAAGGGGCCGCGGCGCTCGGGGTGGCAAGTCCGAAGACAAGGAGGTGGGTTTTTTATTTGGATCAAGCCAAACTGGGTTAATTTAAAATATCGCTTATTAACAGTGACGCTCTTTTAGTGGGTTCCCGTCACCAAGCTGGGCCGCCTTGTTAAGGACATGAAGATCAAGACTTTGGAGGAAATCTATCTCTACTCTCTGCCCATCAAGGTAAGAGGACCAGCTATTTTATATAAAATATTCAGTGACTATTACTACTTGCTGAATGATTCTAGGAAACGTGGGTTTTTAAAAATTAAAGCTTTTGTGAAATGTCCCTGTTAGATGTGTGACAAAGTACCTACTGTATGTAGTTTTTACCGGTTTGTGTGTTTGGTGATAGGCCACATGACTTTTTATTTTCATATGCCACATCTGGAATGCAGTTTCAGAAAGTTATGAAGCGCTGTCACTTTAAATGTATCCTCCTGTCCTACAACTTTCCATTTGTTCAACCAGTTGCTTTTCTGTCATGACAAAATCGGTTACATCCGTCCACCCACATTTCCCATCTTCATCTTTTGTCTACATCTATCAGTTTGTCCAACGCATCTCAAATCTATTACCCCCTTTTATATTTTATATTATATTGTCTTTTCCTCCAGGTACCATATTTGGACTAAAACACATTGGGAAAAGCGAAAAATCTAAGCCTTTTTGAAATATTATTATTATTACATGATAATGAGATGTTGTTCCTGTTTGTAGGAGTCTGAGATCATTGACTTCTTCCTGGGTTCTGGTCTGAAAGACGAGGTCCTGAAGATCATGCCTGTCCAAAAGCAGACCAGGGCTGGTCAGCGCACAAGGTTCAAGGTAAACGTCAGATCTGAGTGTCTCGCGACTCATTTTGTTGAATAGTTGCCCTCTAATTTTGTCCGTCCTCATTAACAGGCCTTTGTTGCCATTGGCGACTACAACGGCCATGTTGGTCTGGGAGTGAAGTGCTCCAAGGAGGTAGCCACAGCTATCCGTGGTGCCATCATCCTGGCCAAGCTGTCCATCGTTCCAGTCAGGAGAGGTTACTGGGGTAACAAGATCGGCAAACCCCACACCGTGCCCTGCAAGGTGACAGGTCGCTGTGGCTCGGTACTGGTGCGTCTCATCCCGGCTCCCCGTGGTACTGGAATTGTGTCGGCGCCTGTGCCTAAAAAGCTGCTCATGATGGCTGGTATTGATGACTGCTACACCTCCGCCAGGGGCTGCACCGCCACGCTCGGCAACTTTGGTAAGCTTCCTCTTTAGGTTTTCTGAGTTTAATGCAGAACAAATGAGTCTTTGAGTTTCTTCATTGCTCAGCTTCACCTCTGCAATGGTGTTGCTGTTATCAGGAGAGAAAAGAACAAATACCATACGTTTTCTCTGTTCCCAAGTTACTGTGTTGAACATATTTCTTTTAGAACAGCTTTGTGCTTGTTTTGTGCATCATCCACTAATTACCTTTATCTTTTATAGCTAAGGCCACCTTTGATGCCATCTCAAAGACCTACAGCTATCTGACCCCTGATCTGTGGAAGGAAACAGTTTTCACAAAGTCTCCATACCAGGTCAGTGCAATGAATATTTTTAAATTTGATTTCTTTTTTCAAAAGTTGCATATGTATAGTTTTGGTGAAATCTTTTGTTTGTTTGTTTTTGCAGGAGTTCACTGACCATCTGGCGAAGACTCACACCAGGGTGTCTGTGCAGCGGGGTCAGCCTGTGCCAGCTCCTACCTCCTAAATGTTTTGTACAGAAGATCGTTGAATAAACGTTCTGAGATACCACTTTATGTGTTTTGAGTTTTGAATCATGTACAAGTTTCTTTTGCAATCGAAAAATAAGAATAGTGCCGCTGCTGACATTATACCTTTAACTTATTTCACTATAAGATTAAAGAATTTGCTTGGAGGTGGCAAAATAGGGATACAAATTCTGTGTTTAACCTGTTTTAATAAGTTGGGATTTATTGTTCCATTTCATGGGCAGATGTTCAGGAGCTCTTACTGAAAAGTGGCAATTTTGAGAAATTGAAGTTTATATACTTTTCAGCACTCAGTTTTTGAGGAAACTTGTGATTTAAACAGAGCATCTAGAAACTAAGCCCTGAAAGGGATACTTATGCTAAACGTGTATGGGAACCGGAAAGACTTTCTACCAAATGATTAGTTTAAAAATCACCAGACTATAATCTTAATGCATCATTAGTTCAAACTTTCAGGGCAGTTTTTAAAAAAAACATTTTATTAAGTTACCTAAAAAACTGGTGCATCTTCATTTTAAGAAGTACATATGTTCCTAGATATACTTCTGTACTGTTCATGAGGAAAAACCCAGAACTAAAGGCATTTTACTCATTTGCCACATTAACCCAAGTTGTTCAGCTGATAAGATTCACTTGGTTTGAGTTACTGGTAGATGAACTGGATTGCAACCATTTTTAGATTTTGGTATAAAATAATTCAGTGCAACTTTGAAAGTGAGCACATCGAAGGTTGTACAGACAGCTATAAAATGGTTGTTTGACACTGAATTAAATGCTACAGCAGAATTCTATATTAATTAAAAAACCGCATTTGAGTCTTGACCTCTTCAAGTAAAAAGAGTATTTTTCTGATTTTGTTTTAATATATACATATTTAAATCTCAGCAATGAAGATAGATATTTTGTATGTGAATGAACTTACTTTAGTAAATGACAAAAACACATCCACTAGAAAACAATCCCAAGCTTAAATAGTACTACAGGAAATCAGCTGAACCACTCAGATTTTTCACAACCTGGCAGCACTGGTCAAGTTAGCAGCCAGTTAACTTTAATGTTGGAAAAACAAATGTCAGGGGGATATAAAAGCACACACAAACACATTTTACTCACATAAACTTTATTTTACAATTCATACGCTGGACAGAAAGGACCGCTTTTAAGCACTTTGGGCCTTAGCTGCCATCATTCGTTCTTTTTGCTTCATTAGACACTTCCTCGCATCAGCGTAGGCCCCAAGGTCTCCATCTGAGGAAGAATTGGGCCACAATTAAAATGTGTAAGGATTCCCTGGGAGAAAAGGTAAAATCTAAACATTCTCTCATGATTTGCTTGAACTCCAAATTATGTTTTTATTTTAATTTCAAAACAAGCAACAAAAACAGGTACTTCCAGTTTTTACTCTGAAAAAAATGAAATGCATACATCTCTGCAGAACGATATAAAAATGTAATGCACAGTAAAACTGGCTTAGCTGTAATCTTGCACTAAATGTGTCCAGGTTTCAGCAGTGAGATACTTACAGCGCAACTGGAAGTTCTTAGCCACCTCATTGAACTGCTGGATTTCTTTGGCGCAGTTCTGCTGGTAGCTGTGCCCTTCTCTCTGCTGACAGGCCCTCATTCGTTCCTGGATTATCTTCAGAATTTCCTGATCCACTTTACTGTGGCGAGAAAAATGATAAACGATCAACAAGTTCACTTTCCACAACGGAGCAGAATGACACCTTTCCTTGATCCTGTTCAACACTGGACAAAAACCCAACACTTTGGAAGTATGCAAGATAATGGCAAGACACACTTGAAAACAACAGTGAGATATCACTGGTCTGTCCACAAAATGCAATGAAGTGTTAGATTTAAATTCTTCACGGCATTCCAGTAGGATCTTCTACTCAGTACGATCTGTGAACTTACTGTAGAGCTATATAGCGAGAGTAGAGCCAAAAAAAAACCATATTGATTCTTCAATAAAAAGCAGTTTATTTCTACAATATCAAATTTGTTTTCCAGATGAAAAAACACGACTTAATATATTTGGGTTTTAGAGCAAAGAAAAATATTAAACTTCAAAAACAAAACAAAAAATAGAGAATACATTTTCTTGAAAACAAAATTGCTCATTTGTGAAAAAAAAAAAAAACAAAACAGAAATGTGATTTGTTTCTGAATGAGAAAAATGACAAAACTCAGAATGAAAATAGCTTTCTTTGCCCCATTACAGTCACTCTGTTGTGGGATTTTTATTGATATACTGCATGGTGAAAATGCATAGAAACCCTGCTGATGTGCGCTAATTTTTGAAAACACTGACTATTTTTATATTAACTATTTAGAACCACATGTAGCCTCAGAGATGCAGGATGAAGACTACAATTTAACTTTGCAGATGTAGAGCCTTAAGGTTCCTTGCGTCAGGGTTATGTTTCATATTCTCACACACGGTGTTTTGCAAAAGTGTATTTACTATTACATTATTGATTCCAACTCACTAGTCTCTCCTCCACTGCATGTCAGCCTCATAGTAGCAGGTGTAGTCTCCCTCCTGGCACTCCGTCAGGTAGGGAACACGGCGAAACTTCTGGTGGTAGTATACCAGCTTATTTTTAGACCGAATGCTGTCGATTTTATCTGGATAAAGAGAGAAACAAGCTTCACGCTGAGAGAAGGAAAACCAAATGCAGGCTATGTTAGCTTGCACTGTGTCCTGTTGTTAGCCCCGTTAGCTTCTCCTACCTCTAAATGTGGTGACAGGAAGGTCCACGGCGTAATAGAAGAGTTTAGACAGAATTAGAGCTGGGTTTGGCAGCAGCGTCTGCTTATCCACGGCCGGAGTTTGTCGCGGAGGTTCGGGGTATGCTGCTTTATTATGGTCGTCTGGCATTTTGTGTCTCGTTCCGCTCAAGATTGCACAGATCCTCCAGTTCGACCTCGACAGAGTGCCTTTCGAGGTGGCGCATGCGTAGCAGACGCACCGCAATGGCGAATTAGAGGTCAACAAAATACATTTTAAAAAATCATTTAACAGCTGCGTATTTCGTGATTATCTTGGGAGAAGGATTTTGGTGAGAAATAATGTCAATAATAATAATAATAAAACTACATTTTTCTCGAATATTATATTTAAAACACCGGGGTCGAAAAATAAAGGTTGAGCTGTTGTGCATTTTAACTCCACTAGATGATGCTAGAGAGCCATAAAGATCTCAAAAGTTCCACAGTTGAACACACGAATAATTACATTTTTAACAAACATTTACATATTTTAATTATTTCATAAATAGTAGACAAATAATTAAAACGTTAAAAGTGTGTACATAATTGTTTTAGTGTTAATTTAATTATCTCATTCTTCAGTTTTGCAAAAAATTTTTTTGCAAAACTTTTTATTAGCTTAAGTAATTAGAGATTCTCAGCGGGTCTCAGACTATAATTGAAAAAAAAAGTTTTACAGTTAATGCTCTGCAGAATTAATTATTGTATTTATTCCAACTTAATTTCAGCCATCACAAACATTCATATTCCTTTGACAAGTTATTTATTTGTTGTACTCTGGCACTGTTAGGTAGATTTAAGGTATGACATTTAAAAAAATCACATGAAGGAGATTCATATGATTTTGTCTGCTGTTTAATTAGGAATATATTTCCTGACAGAGCATCTTATCAATTTTCTTATACATATTCGTACATCAAAAAGTACAAAATTCAACATTTAATTTAAATCAATGTATTCACTCTTTTGAAAAATCCCCAGTGCCCTACTTGGTGTTACTCTTGTGTGTCAACCATTTGGCTTAATTTTCTCTAAATACTACCACAGAAAATGTGGTATCTAAGCATCTCATGTCCTCTCTTACTGTACAGACTATTACCTTCAGGTTATTCTGTTGAAAGATCCTCTGATGACTCCTTTTCAGTTTTCTGATAGAGTCTAACAGGGCATAATTAAAAATGCATAGATTTCAAAAGATTCATGCTTAAATGATTTTAAACAAGGATCCTATGGTTTTTTTGGAAACAGGCCCACCGCATAGTACATCCTTCACTGTGCTTGAGGTACTTTTCTGCATATCCTTAATTCTTCAAAATATCACCTTGGTTTAACAAACAGTTGTTTCACATTTGTGATGGTAGGACACAAGAGACTTTTCCCTGAGGACTGATGATTGCCATAGGTTTGTTTTCAAAGGAAACTTTAGGAGCGAGTTGTGTTTACAGGGAAGCAATTAAACTATTTGATCATATCTGATTCAAGTCTTCTCTCAGATGACTCAGATATTAGTATCACATTGCATCTTCTAGTAGGTCTATCTTTAGCTGGTAGCATGATCATACGAATAAGTACACTCAGAGCCCCAACAAATTGTCGACATTCTAACAGCAGGTAGTTGTAGCAACAAACAAAGTCCATCTCATATTAGAGCAAAAAGTAAAGACTCATCAGGGTAAGGTAAAATATTTAATTTGTTGGCTGGGATAAATAAAGTCTAATGAAACCTTAGTTTCTTGACAGTGAAGCCCTTGTCCTCCCTCTCTCCTTTATTGGTTGTACGTTTGCTGTCGACTGGGCCTCCCAACCCACCTCAGACCTTTCACTTCACCCTTTTCGCTGTAGCTGTCTTCTCCTGTCAGGGCTTGGCAAAGATCCCCTTGTTTGAAAGAGAATATGCCTCTTGGACAGGGCCAAACACCAAGTTAGAGTGCTTAGACTGTGTATCATCTTATGTGTGACACTTGCAGCAGTCCGAGTTCCTTTTTTCTGCTCTCCTTCCCTGGATGGTTGCAAAGTCATGGTCAGTATTGGGTCACTGTTTTGCTCACTTTGGGTTATATTTTTGTCAATTTTTCATGGCTGTATCCCATTCTGTGCTTGACATGAAAGCATGTGTTTTTTTTTTTTGAATGATGGATTTAAAAGAGGACAATGTTTTTATTTGGACACATGTGGGACTTCTACAGCTAAAAAAAAAAGTCCTTACAAAATTACTTTTACTACCCAGGTAGCTCTTCTTTTATGCAAAAATATCAGAATGTGAAGAATGTTTGTGGATTAGTTCACAAACTGTTACTGGAAAAGGTTGTTTTAATGTTTCAGTGCAAATCTCACCCATGTCAATTGAATGGCGTTCATCTGCTTCTGTTCAGCGCTGTTTATGGTGTTTTTCAGTCTCATCGCAAGTTCCACGCCCCACGCCACGGGCACATGGGGTTCCTGCCCCGCAGGCGCAGCAAGAAGCACAGGGGCAGGGTCCGCACGTGGCCCAAAGACGACCCCAGCCACCCCGTCCACCTCACTGCCTTCCTGGGATATAAAGCTGGCATGACCCACACTCTGAGGGAGGTGCACCGCCCTGGCCTGAGTATGCACATATTAGAAAAACAGTGAGGTTGTTCAGCTTCTACACACAAAAAATGTAGATAGTATGTGCTGTTCTGTTATTTGAATGCCAATAATTACCATCTCTTTTCTATTCCCAGTAAATATTCCAGTTTTTTTTATGTGGCTTTCTAATTAATTTCCGTCTTCTATTGATAGATTTATTTAATTTCTTCCAACCTCAAAGATTTCCTCACATAAATTGTCAGAATACCAGTGGAAATATGCAAAAAGCTGAATATCATCTGAGAGATGGCTGCCACGTTTACGTTCAGAAATGTCTTGGTTGAGTAAAAAAAAATTTAAATTTAAATCTCTTAGGGGTTTTGGTTTTGGTTTTAACTGTAAATACATCAGAATTAATATTTGTTGTTGTTTGTTCCCTGAGAAGTTGCATTTTGATGACATGTTTCTGGCATAAATCTTGATGTGAATTTGACAAGTCATCTTGGCAGAGTTTGTAGTTCATTTAAATTTGTTGGTTTACTGGCTCAGAGTTCGCATTTGAGTAAAGTCTCATTACAATTATTGGGTTCTGAGCTTAAAAAAAAAATCCAAATACAGTTTTTATCCATTTGGGATAGTAGTTCTTTTGGTACACTTTATGTCCAAAATTCAAACTATCTAACTCAAACTTTCACTCTTAAAAAAAAAAGTAAATTAGATCCTCAAGGTTGTAATGAAAGTGGCAGCACTGGAAGACCGCTGTTATTGATAAAGGTGGAGATATTTGTCCACATTGACAAGAATACATTTGGGGGAATCAAAGTTTTAACCTAATAATACGGTACTGTACTGTCAAGCATAAGAGTGGCAGCATCTTTACTGGTAAATTGGAAAAAAAAAATTAACTGCTAAAATGTCTCAATTAATAAATTAAATTAACATAAAAAAGCCAATATTATAAGATTTATGCTGCTGATTTCAACATTCGACTGTATGTACGATAAAAATATTTTCCCTTTCTGTCTGTATTACAGAGATATCAAAGCGGGAAGAAGTTGAGGCTGTTACCATCATTGAGACCCCTCCAGTCATTGTTGTGGGAATTGTGGGTTATATTCATACGGTCCGGGGCTTGCGTACTCTGAAAACCATCTTTGCCGAGCATCTCAGTGATGAGTGCAGACGCAGATTTTATAAAAACTGGTGCGTACAATGAGTGGTTTATTTTTTAGCACCAATATTAAATTGAGAGACTAGCTGAGAAGCCGTCCATTTTTACTGAGGCCTTCTGTGTTTTAGGGCAAAGAGCAAGAAGAAGGCTTTCACCAAGTACAGCAAGAAGTGGCAGGATGAGACTGGAAAGAAACAGCTGGAGAAGGATATTAATATGATGAAGAAGTACTGTTCAGTCATCAGGGTTATTGTTCACTCTCAGGTGGGCTTAATTCACCTGCGCCACTGTGTAATGACACCTCTTCAAAAGAAGCAGGCAACAGACAGAACAGCTTGTAAATCCTTAGCATGTTGGCTCAGGCCACGACACTGAGTCTGAGGAGGAGAACTGAGGAATCTAGTTTCAAATATCAGTTTAAAAATATTTTTTCAGGGTGAATCTTGGCAGCCAATGCAGATTATTTGAAGCTTGGAAAAGTTGTCAGATCTTAAAAATGCTTTATGGAGCCTTTTTTTCTGTATAGAGCTGATAACAACATGACATGTTTTTAAATATGACTTCTAATAATTCTAATTATTGCTGTTTATTATGTCTTTCATTCCCACTTAAAGGCAACACAATTGCCTGAGACTTCAGAGCTTGATTTACTTGCCGTTCTTTTGTCGTGTCTCTAGATGCGACTGCTGCCCATAAAGCAGAAGAAGGCTCACATCATGGAGGTGCAGCTGAATGGAGGCAGAGTTGTAGATAAAGTGGACTGGGCCAAAGAGCACTTGGAGAAAGCTGTGCCCATTTCTGCAGTGTTTTACCAGGATGAGATGATTGATGTCATTGGAGTCACCAAAGGTCATGGCTTCAAAGGTAGGATCTATGCTAAAGCTTGTTGCAGTGACAGGACTGTCCATAATACACAACAAGATAGATTGGATCTGTGCTTCCTACATTAAGGAGTTACAAGTCGCTGGCACACAAAGAAGCTTCCCAGAAAGACCCACAAGGGGCTGAGAAAGGTGGCCTGCATTGGTGCCTGGCATCCTGCACGTGTGGCCTTCACCATAGCTCGGGCCGGTCAGAAAGGCTATCAGCACCGGACTGAGATCAACAAGAAGGTTAACCTGATTTTCTCAAAACTATAAATAAATGACTAGTTCAATATGATAATAAATTTCACCTCAGAAGTTTCCTAATGTGTCCTCAGATATTTCGTATTGGCAGAGGCGTTCACATCCAGGATGGAAAGGTGGTGCGAAACAGTGCCTCCACCAGCTACGACCTCAGCCAGAAAACCGTCACTCCAATGGTACTATATGGACTCAAGTCACTGCTTGTGATAACACTCATATTGAGATGAGCAAAAATCTTTAAAATCAATTCAAGAGTCAGCTCAGTTTTCTGTATTTTCTCTCTATAGGGGGGCTTTCCTCGCTACGGTGAAGTAAATAATGATTTTGTCATGGTGAAAGGCTGCGTTGTTGGTGCTAAAAAACGTGTCCTCACACTCAGAAAGGTAGGGAGACTTAGTTTTACATACAACATATCATTCAGGTATGATGTTAAACCTTTCTGATTTGAAATACTTATACACTGAACTTAAAAGTTGAAATTCAACTAAGTATGTGTGTCTTCCTGCAGTCGTTGCTCACGCTCACGTCACGCAGGGCCAAGGAGATCATTGAGCTCAAATTCATCGACACCACTTCCAAATTCGGCCATGGGCGCTTCCAAACGGCCCAAGAGAAGAGAGCTTTTATGGTGAGCGTATTAAAGCATAATTTCAATAAGTACAAAGCAAGAAGCCAGTTTATCATATGAATTTGCAATTTAAGGATGGCAAGATTTTTTTGAACATTTAACATCTCCTCTGTTCATAGGGGCCACTGAAAAAAGATCCTCTAAAGACAATGCCACAACCTCTGTTAGAGGAGGCCTGAAAGAATGGCTTCTGATAATATACTTGCAGAACAATAAATATATTTTACTTATTCACAACATGATTTTTTAGTTTGTCTTTCTTAAAATATTACCAGGAATAGATGTATGTTTTTCTATTATGTACAAGGTCTGCAAATAAAACATGAAAAAAATTACACATTTTGAAATTTTAAATAACTTTTAATTTGAAAAAGAACATAATATCATGCAGGGTGAATGGATGGAATGATGAATGTCTTTTTGTGTTGTGCAGTTTCTGTTGATCAATTTTGCACTACTTAAAAAAAAAGACATTTGTTACTTAAAATGCAACTGAGTGAACTCCCTGAAGGGGGCGCTTATCCTGGTCCCCACAATACTGGTGGTCCCAAGATCACAGTTTGAGTTCAGCAGGAAGCACTTTTCCTTCACTAATTACGAGGTTATTTAGGATGACCATCAACCTGCTGCACTTTCAAAGCTCCATCATAACAGATGCACAACATCTAGTTTTCTTCAACATCACATAATATGCTCTGCAGCCACAAGGTGGTGCTACTCTGACATGTATTCCTGAGACTCCATGGAAGACTGGTGGGAAGTTGAAATCATAGAGGAATGGGGGGATGCAGGTGGGTTTTCCAGGCCGGATGTCATCAGGGGCAGATATAAATCATCCATGTTGGGCATGACAAATATTTTCTGTTCAGATACAGAGAGTAAACACATTTACCAATCAATACAGGGATTATTAAATCATACGAAGGTGACGCAGATGGTGAATTGACAGACTGACCTGGAACTCGCACTGGAGTTTTTTCTCGATCCACTCTGTCACATGAGTGAAGGTGACCTCCCTCTCCCCAAGCATGGGGCGCACATGGAGGTCTAACCTGGGAGGCACTCGAAAACTATACCTGAAACCAAACAAATGTTAGCTCGAACATTGGCGAAAGATGAAAATATATATGCAGTTTTCTGTAAGAATGAAAATCTCAAAAAGAAATTAAGATCAGGAGGGTAAAGGTATGTACCAGATCCTATCAGTTGGAGGAGGAGGAATGTTGATGGTTAATGTTCCAGAAAGCTCCAGGACCTCGACACTGAGCATTAGGGGCATGTTGGAAACCTCGGCTATTTTCTTCTTGATGTACTCATTTTCAGTGGCCTTTTGGAAGTACTTGGATTTTGCTATTTTATCCACAAATCTCAGGATTTTCCTGCCTGTACTACCACCAGTGTGCCTGCAAAGAAAAAAAAAACTGCTAAGTTGGCAATTAAATCAATAGTTTTGCATAGCTGATATGCTGTTCTTTTGTGATTTGATTATGTTTGTGGCAAAAATTCACCCATCAGCCACTGCAGGAGTGTTCTTATCACCCAATGAACTCTGTGGATCAAATGGGGGTATTTCCTCTTCGTCAGAAGACCCAGCACTGGAGGACTCTTCATCGCTATCTGCTAGTATACACAGCCTCGGCTTAGACCTAAAAAAAAAAAAAACCACAGTGGAATGGGTTGCTGTGAACTTCGAGCTCTGAACTTTTTTCTTCATTAAACCCCAGCATATTTCATGTAAAGATCCCTAGGGGGCTCACCCCATTTGCAGGTTCTCAGGAATGTTGTGAGCTTCGGCCTCTCCCTCTTTGCCTAACTTACACAAGTTCATCTTAGTCTCCAGGGTCATCTGGAGGCAGCCCGTGTACACTAATTCCAGGTCCAGCCACAAACCTGGAGGTGAAACGGGAGGAGGAAGTTAAGTAGCGGGTATACAGACAAACAGTGCTCTTAATGGACTTTGATCTAAGCCATGAGGTTGTCTTGGAGCATGAGCCAAAAGCTAATCTGGCCGGAGTGATGCTGGATAAGTAGAGCCTAGCTTTGACATGTCATGGATGGAAATGCTCAATTAAGAGGATTGCTAATCACTTCACTAAGTGAGACAATGAGAGGGTGTGATCCTATTTGTTACACAACAAACAAGATTATGACCTGAACCATTTGAGTGCACTTATTTTGCTTGCTAGATAGAAAGAAATAAAAATGATAAGGGAGTAGTACTCTTTGTGACATAACTATGAACAGATTAGGATTATTTTTAAGAGTAATTAGAATGTTCATGTTAAGCTTGATTATTTTTATTTAAATAAATATTTAAATATTATTTAATTTAATTTAAATATTTGTGGCGTTGTTTCAAGAAATCAATACTAAATCTATTTCCGAAATAGATTTTTTCTATTTTGGGGTACAGGTGCCATTAATGGTACTAAGATATTTTGAATTCTTCTTTCAGAGAGAGCCGGAGTACAACATGGTCAGGTCGCTAATCCATCACAGGCAGCAAAAAGGCACTTGGGATGAATAATGATGCACTGATGCACCAACTCCTAGGGACAATTTGAACTTACATACGTACACTGGGACTGTTGGAAGAGGACAGAATTATATATGATGTCAAATTAACATTGAAGATGTCCTTAGTTGCCTTTCTAGGGTTTCTAGATCACTATGTCATGGATGTTCCTTCTTTCTAACTTACTTATCTGTATAATCTGACTCTATCCTCATCTTTATTTACAGTTTATCTCTTTCTGCAACAATGGTCTACCACATTGTTGTTTGTCAAGTTTTCCAAGTTTGGATTAATCAGTCTAACAAACAAGCTGATTCCATGTTTATTTTTTTCTGTCTGTTTAGTACTTTCAGTCTTCATTAACAAAGTGTTTTGGCTTTGCTCAGAGGCACTAATAAAAACATCCCGCAGGTGATGTATCAGTTACTGAATAGGCAGTGCTGTGTCTTGGATGGATTTTCAATGTCCTTTTTGACACAAAACTAATAGAGATCCTGGTGACCTAAATCAGAGAGACCAAGGAGAGAAGTGTTTGACCTGGGATGATGGGGGAAAAAAAAGTAGAGTTATGAAAATATTACTTAATTTCCACCAATATCGTTATAGTCACATTTAGCAATAAAACTACATTGTCGTGTTTTGCATGATATAATGCAAATCTAGTTTTTAAAATAAATCACATGTAATGCGTAGTCTGATTTTAGTTGCTGTGAACCCCTGTTGAGTTTTTCTTTTGTCTATCTGACTGAAACTGCATAAAAGGCTAAATCTAAATACTGTCTGCCTATTGATGGCTTTTGGAAGTTGCAGGGCTCTTTCACAATTTTTTTTTTTACATTTAATATGACAACAGTGCTTAACAGCCCTACTGATCTGAGAACTGAATTTACCTAATGTACATAGATACTCAGTGGTAACACAATGAACCAGGATTGATAGAAATGTTGAAAGTTTCCAACAATCAAAAAGGTGCATGGCAGGAATGCCAGGAATCAATATAGACTGGCATACAGCATGCTGTACCTCTGCGATCCAGTGTAGGTGTTGATGTGGTTAAGACCTGAGGAAGGCAGCTTCCCATGTCCAGATCAGCTAGGGTCAACTCATTCATGAAGTAAGGCAACTGTATAAAACAGAAGGAGAATTTCATCTGTAAGTATGGAGTATTGATATCAAAGAGAAAAACATCACAGAGGTAGATATCCACCTCTCAAACCAACAAGCAGGAAGGGTTAGCTGTAGCGTGGATGAATGAGTGTGCATGTATGAGACTAAAAGAGATGGTGTGAGGCAAAAAGAAGAGAAAATGAGTAAAGAGTGATGCAGTGTCATCATTTGTCTTCTGTAGTATCCCACCTGCCTTGGGAACCCAGAAGAGTGCATTGTCAGCAAACACTTTCGCTCTCATGTAAATAAATAATTTATTGCATGTCTTCCATTATGGAAGACATGCAATTTATCATTGTTAAACCTTTAACCTGCCCGCTGCCAATGTGATAAAAATATTAATAAAAATAGAGGAGCATCTCATTTTTGCTTTAATGTAGTCGGGATCAACAGGAAGTCCTTGAACACTTGATGTGCATTGACTCGTTAAAGGGTCAAATATTAAAAAAATAAATTAATAAAATAAAATAAACAACTGTCAGGAATACCAAGTTAGTCAGCTTCACCTTGATCTTACTGAGTTTCTTCTGGATTTTGTGAGCCACTTGATCAGCCCAGTATTTTTCTCGGAGAAAGTCCCAGAAAATCCTCCCCACCAGAGAATTTATCCATGCAGGCTGGCTGTCTGTGGAGCATCCAACCAACTCAACGACTGCCCCGCTGTCCTCTCCAGCTTCACCCCCAGAAACACAATCTTCAGTGGAAATCTGTGGAGAATATAAAGAAAGTCATTATATTGGCTGACAAAATAAGCTGCTTGATCTGGCACTTTATTTAATCAGTGGTTCCCACTACAGTGTCTTGCAACAGAATTTCACATTTTAACATTGTTTTACTAAAGCAAATTTGCAAAAAACCTGCTTGTCAATTTAATGCTAAAATATATAGTATTTTTTCAAACCATATTTAAAAGGCCAAACTTTGATATTTCAAATTCCAGATTTATTTGTTTTTATTCCAATAAATACCCATAAATTATGGATTTCCATAAATTCCCAAAAGAAAGTTAGCAACTTTGAAAATTCTCAGGATTTTATGCAAGGCACTATGTGTGTCATAGTGGAGCTAAAGCTAAGGACAAATGTAGCTTCTGGACCTTTTTGCCAGCTGAGGGGCTTCCTTTGTCGCTGCAGCTGGGGCTGAGAGCAGAACTATTTCTGTCTGAGCCAATCAGCTGCATCATGTAGGTGCTGTACTCCAGCAGCGTTTTTGTTTTCATCGACAAGTCGGCAAACTCCTCTGGGGCTTCCTTTACAGCCTCTCCGCCAGTCTGTGCTTCTGTATGACAGATAGAAGACGACAGCTGGTAGATAAAACCCTGATCTTATACATAAACCCTTATCAAAATAAGATAAGTTGCTCTCCAGGTAGCTACATTCTTATTACCTGTGTTCTCCTCTGGGTTCGATTCACTTTGGGGTGCAGCCTTCGAAGCAGACAGAAGGTGCTGAAACCATTCCTCTTTCTCTCTTCCTGTGCGGCCAAATAGATACAGAGTGGCAGGAGACCGATGGCTAGGGATGCTGGGTTTCTCTGCTGTTTCACCCTCTTCCTG